ACATAATATTCTATTATTCATCGTGAACAATATATTGATCTCAATATCTAACCTTAGCGCTCAAATACTCTCCAGCAAAACAATATACAAACGCTTCCACATTTATAACGACATAAAATAAGAAGTTTCTGATTATACTTTTCGTAGCATCGGGTTGACCGATTGACTGGAATATTAATAAATGTCCTAAGAGCAATGAAAAAGTGGAAAAGTAATGAATAATTAAAGGTGCAAAATTAGTGCTTTTCTGATCTGCAACAATACAAATTCAACAGTGGTTTCTATATTTTTCGTTTATCATATAAAATTAATCAAAATTGCTTACCGCAACAATTGTAAAACCTAAGCAACAGATAATCAGAGTATCTGATACGAACAGCACCATTGCAATATACGTATACAGATCTTCGATGTGCTCTGAAAATTTAATAATCTTCTGATGCTTTTTAATTATCTTTTTTACCGTAAAATGACTCGGATTACACTTTCCGTTCTTCGGAAAAACTTCCTTTAAACCTTCTCGAAGAATATCGATTTGTCCGCCTATATGCAATATCTAAAATATACATTCTTTTTAACCGAATATTTTATAATGCTTAAATTTATACTAAAAAAAAACTTCAAAACTTCAAAATTTGAGAAATAGCATAAATCAAAATTGCCTATTAACAATTTTTTTTAATGTAGACAATAAACACATGTATGTACAGGAAGTCACAGAAAAGTCGCAACATTTTTTAATGAATTTTGGAATTTAGCTATGCTTATATAGAGTAGTTGAAAGAAAATGGTTACACTATACACAAGTAAGAACTAATCTCTACGGTGAACATACCGCATCAATTGATATTAATTGACTGGTTAATAAAATTTCAAGAAATTAATTTTTACAAATAATAGTATCATATATCTTTTGTGCTTTGCAAAACTTACCAAATTTATGAGTACAGCATTTAATAAACAATTTGCGTCGGCACACAACAGTAAAGTAACAAATTGAGCAATAACGATTGTTTCATATACAAATCTTTGGTTAGAGTCAAATGGTAGGTCCATCTCTAGAATAAGTAACCGTGTGGACATGTTGGAAGCATTGCCGTCATCCACATGTTTTACGAAAATCTTGCTACTAAAAAAAATTACAGCTGTCGAATAAAGAATTACCGTCATGTTAGCAAAGCGTTGCGACAGTTTAGCATTACATGTCGCGAATATATTAAATTTCGTGCTAGAATATTTTTCCCGGTCGATCGCCATCATTGTTAATATCCTGTTGAAAGTTCTATAAATGATTTTTACTGGTCATATAATCCGTGATAACGGCCGCAACGAAGCGTTATGCGAACCATCGATGAAAAATTTATCGTTGTACAATGGCTTTAGTGATAAGTATCTGCTTTTATTTCATTTTTACATATAATAATAAACTTATTTCAGCGATTTACAACTTAATTTTGTTTTATTACACATTGCTCATGTTTGCAATTTACTAAATAATTTATTTTTTTTACTTGCCAGAGTAATTATATTAACTAAATTTATATATATACACCACTGACTTAATGTGTTTGATATTTGATAGTTAAATATAATTAATTAAAATAATATATTTAAAATAAATTTTTCACTGATAGTGTGCATATCACAATGAGCTTCACCACTGCGTATCTCACCGCTGTTTACACCAAAAAATGACAAGTTTAATTAAAAATATCGTATATGTCATTGCTGCACCCAAAATATGCATTATCTCGGAAAAATCAATCAAATGGAAACGCATTAGAATGTATCGATATTGAAAAATTTGCTCGATTATGATCGAGACAATCCAGAACAGTCTATACAACGAAACGCACGACATATTCGGCCAAATGCCAAAAATTCGAAGGTACATTTCTATCACTTGGCTAACAGTGTTTTTTAATTTCATATTTCTAATATTATTATCTTTCTATTATTTTACACTCTGTTTACATATATTGATTTCGACGAGGGAATTTTTAACGGTGTTACAAATAACATCTAATTAACTATACGATGTGTATGATATAGTGTCTCCGTACATACTGAGAGCTTAGAAGGGAACACGGGTGGTAGAACCCTCCCATGAGGCATGGCTTATTAAATATTTCAACAGCAACATGCACAAATTGTGTATAGTATTATCGGTAAAAAAAAAAGAAGTTACCGAATAGTCGACCCTCCTTCTCTCAAATTCTCGGGCGGAACAATGCAGTAGCGCGCAGTGCGTGATTTTCTTTAAAAATTCAAGCAGCAACAGACAGGATAGACAGCACATGCAAACGTACAAAGGACATTAAACCTCAGTGATCGTAAGAAGACTTTTGTATTTCCGTAAATAGGGGAGAATTTTTTGAAGAAGAGAAAAGATAGGAAAAACGGAAGAGGCGTTTCACTTTTTAAGATATTATTTCCTCAATATCGAAGGAAATTTTTTCTCGTGCATTACTGTAAGTGCGACTACGTTCGCAACTTATTCTCTTAAAATATGTAAATCACGAATTTGAAAGAAACTTTTGTGTATATCAGATGTTGCGTGCAGTAATCACAGCTAAAAGTATAGATTAAGTAAAAATATAGCTGTATTATAATAAAGCTGTAAAATATAGCTGCATTATAGTAATAATATTTTTTGCGTCTTGTAAGACTCACCAAATTTACAAGTAAAGCATTCAATAAACAGTTTCCATCGGCACACATCAGCAAATTAACAAATTGAGTAATTATGATCGATTCATATACCAATCTTTGGTTAGCGTCAAATGGCAAATCCATCTCTAGAAGGAGTAATCGTGTAGAAATGTTGGAAGCTTTGATGTCATCCGTGTTGTAGGAGGATCTTGCTACTAAAAAGAATTACAGTTATCGAATGAAGAAACACCATTACGTTGACAAAGTGCTCCGACAGTTTGGTATTGCATGTCAGAAAGATACTGAATTTCGTGCTAGAGTATTTTTCCCAGTCAATCGCCATTATTGTTAATATATCTTGTTGAAAGTTCTACAAATGATTTTTATTGGCCATAATCGTTATACCATTGATGAAAAATTTATCGTTGTACAATAATAATTTTATCAATACATTTATATCTATTTTTATTTCCTTTTTTGCATACAATAATTAATTTATTACAGCAATTTATTTTAAATTTCGCTTTACTACATTGTTCATGTTTGCAATTGTTAAGAAATTTAATTTACTTGTCAGAGTAATTGTTAAATAGATTTACATCACTAACTTAATGTGTCTCTCTCTGAATAAGTGTAGTTAAATATAATCAAATTAAATAATATTTAAAATATATTTTTCATTGATGGTGCATATTATTAGGAGCTTTACCGTTATGTATCTCACCGTTATTTATATTAAAAAATGGCAAGTTTAATTAAAAATCTCGTATACGGAATTATTGTACTCAAAGTTATTATCTATCAAATGAAAATTCCTTACGACATATCGATATTGAACAAATTACTCGAATACAAGCGAAAAATAATTCAGAACAACCTACACAACAAAATGCATGACATATTTGGCCAAATGCCAAAAATACGAAACCAAATTTCTATCATTTGGCTGACAGTATTTTTGTCTTCATATTTCTGTTTTTATTTATTCTCTATTATTTTACACTGTTATCAATATATGTATTGATTTCTGCGAGAGAATTTTTAATGATGTTATAAATAACATTTAATTCATTAGACGACGTGTATGATATAGTGTTTCTATATACAAAAAACTAAGATCTTGAAAGAAGTCTCGGGTGAAGGAACCCTCCTGTGAGGCAGGGCTTATTAAATATTTTAATCGCAACGTACACAGACTGCGTGCAGTATTATCGATAAGAAAAAAAGACGAAGTTTCCGGATGGTCGTCCCTGCCCCTCTCAAATTCTCGGGAGAAACAATGTAGTTGTGCGTTATTTTCTTTAAAAATTCAAGCAGCAGCTAACATGGCAGACAGCAACATGCAAACGTATACAGGACATTAAACCTTGGTGACCGCAAGAAAAGTTTCATATTTCCGTGAATGGGGAAGAATATTTTGAAGAAACGGAAAAATGAAAGTGAAAGAGACATTTCTTTTTCCAAGATTATTTCCTTTACATCGAAACATATTTTTTTCGCGGATTATGATAAGTGCGAATGCGTTCGCAACTTATTCTTCTGAAATATATAAATCGCACGATTTTAAATGAAACTTTTGTGCATATCAGATATAACATGTTGCGTGCAATAATCATGAAGAAGTAAGCTAGAAGTAGAAAACGGAGAACAAAATGTTGAGTGAAGTTTTTTATATTGCAGCAACGGCGTTTCTCGCAAACGACAAGCATAATGCTTTTAAGCTGTAAAAAACATTGTATTATAAGAAGTAAGAAGCTAACGTTATTCTCTTAGGAAAGTATGTTTAGGCATTAATATTACTTGAACATTATAAAATTTTTAATTGATTATGCGAAGAAGAAATGGAAGAACAAATGATTTTTGTTGATTGTGTGTACATATATTAGAAATAATTGCAATATTATTTAAAGTATTACAAAAATGATAATAATAATTACTTTGAGATTGATACGATAAGATCTTTTTATTACTCGTTTTATGATTTTATACTTTCATTTTATGCAATAGCATTTTGAGCAATAACTCAACACTGTCATGGTACTGTCATCATAATACTACATCGATGCTCAATTTAATATTTAGTACATCGCTAATAGGACGGAAATATACGATGCCGATATCTTCACAACCTATAATATTAATCGGAGGTAACGTATCATGAATCATATGAATGCATGTGTGATTATAAATATTAATAATCAATTAGTTAAATAAAATTAACTTTAAAAATTATATCGTATTCTTTTCAATTTTTAACAATTTAGTAAAAAGTATATTTAGTTTAACGTTAACGTTAAGAAAATTTTTTAATATCTTTTTTGAACATATAGATAGGATCTGCTAAGTATTTACAATTTATGTCGTAGGAATCTTACACTAGCAAATCGTTCCAAAGAGAGATCCATAATTTTTCCAATTGTGATGGTCAATCGTTTTTGCGATCTTAAAATCACGAGCAATATAATTCGTTTTTTTTCGGTTGTGATGTCGTACCAAAGAGAATCGTAAGCCGCATCTCCGATCATTTTGCTCTAGAAAGAAAGGATTGATTTTGGACTTTTTGTAATTAAAGTCATTAACAATTCTCGGCGCTAACCTTAGCGTTCAAATATTCACCGACGAAACAATATATAAATGCCTCGAGGTTCATCACAATGTAATAAAGTACTGACCTCACCAAAATTGCTACTCCGTTAGGTGCACCAATTGACTGTAATCTCGAACGTAGTAATTTAGAAACAATTTGTCTTGTTCTATGATACCGAATATATACGCGTACAATTAAAAGTAGTTTCATGTATTGACAATTATTTTAAATAATATATATATTTTTGTAAAATTTGCAATCTATACTGAGATGTTTTCCAACGTTACTCACGGTGATAATAATGAATCCTAGACAGCATATAATGATAGTGTCTGACACAAACAACATCAGCGCAATGTACGTATAAAGATTTTCAATATTCTCCGAAAACATGATTATCTGTTGATGCTTTGTTATCAATGCTTTCACCGTTATCCCGTTCACGGTATGCGTCATATTTTTGGAAAAGCCTTTCAGTAACCATTCGCAAAGGATATCAATTTGACCACCAATGTGCAGTATCTAGGGTTGTCTTAAATGATAAGAGTCACGATCACGTAATTCTACGCCGTAAAGTGGCATCCAAGAACTTACCAAAGTAATAATGAGTGAATTTATCATGGAAATTCCATAGCCACACATCGACAGATTAAGAAATTCAAGAATCGTAACGAGCATGTAAATAGGAAACGTGTCAATCTGGAATGGCAGCTTCAGCTTCAAGATATGTTCCCGCGCGGACACATTCATTCTTTGAATATTACCGGTGTTAACAGCAAGTACGCCGCAGGTGTACAAAGTTATGGCAATAATCTGGAGTCCAATAATCCAACTCGAGATGCGGTGCGAGAGTTTGGCTTTGTTGGTCGTAATGCGCAGACTACAATCAGTTAGAACGCAGTTCCTCCAATCTATGGCCATCATTTGCAATATGTCAGAAAATGTTCTAAAAAAAAAAAGAGATACGTCAGTTAATATCATTATTTACATCTATCAAGTAAGTAAATATTATTAACAAATTAAACAATTAGTAAATTAAATATGAAATTTATAAGAAAATATTATCTACATGTATGTTCCAAGTCATAACTATACATTTGCAAGATGATAGATACAAGATGATAGATTTAATAATATAGAATAAAGTCTACTTGCAGGATATTACAGCATGTTACTAATCACTCATACAATTGATTATTTAAATTTAACATTTTATATGCTAGCTATAATAAGAAACGGTAAAGAATTCTTTGTAATGTTTGTCTTACTGTTGATTCGCCCACAAAATAGTGAGTTTGATGATAAATAGACTATATGTCATGGCACTGCTTACACCATCCATCAAGTCGGAGAAACTGTCGATGTAAAAGTGTATCACTACATATTGATATTGAAAAAACTGAACTGTACCAAACATCACGATACAAAACAATCGGAATAAAATGGTTGACGGTAGATAGGGCCAGATACCGTAGACGTGAAGACCGATCTTTACCGCGCGACTGATCGTACTCATATCCATGTTTCCCGATTAAACGACAGAAACGGACGGAGAATCGTTGATGGTGTACGTGTGCCACCAGACAATGTTACTCGCTGAAAAATCTAAGGAGGCGGAGTCTTCAAGAAAACCGTATTGCTAAACGTCGACCAATCGAAAAACTACTTGATAAATATTTTATCGCCACGTATCGCAAACTTTGACTGACCACGTGCAACGATTTCATCGACGATCGCACCTTGATACGTAAAAAAGTTAGAGGTATCACTTCTCCCTCCGCGAAGTAAAGTTTCTGACCACGGACAATGCTACCGTGTGTCTTCTTTAAAAATGCAACAACCCCGGGAGTGCAGCTTCCATGACCTGCCGCACAATGCGAAGTTGAAAAGTTTTGCTGTTGGGGGCGTGTAAACGCAAGAGGACATGAACATATCGCCAAGGATGTTTCTCTGAAACGTTTAGCGCGAAACTTATAGCTCATATTGTAGTTAAAAATTGAAAGAAGCAAGACGAAAATGATAATACATACGATTTTTAGTGATTCTTTTTCTACAGCCAAAATGTATTATGTAATAAAATTTAAGCAGCAGCTAATATGGCAGACAGCAACATGCAAACGTACACAGGACATTAAACCTTAGTGACCGCAAGAAAAGTTTTATATTTCCGTGAATGGGGAAGAATATTTTGAAGAAGCGGAAAAATGAAAGTGAAAGAGACATTTCTTTTTCCATGATATTATTTCCTTTACATCGAAATATATTTCTTTCGCGGATTATGGTAAGTACGAATGCGTTCGCAACTTATTCTTCTGAAATATATAAATCGTACGATTTTAAATGAAACTTTTGTGCATATCAGGTATAACATGTTGCGTGCAATAATCATGAAGAAGTAAGCTAGAAGTAAAAAACGGAGAACAAAATGTTGAGTGAAGTTTTCTATATTGCAGCAATGGCGTTTCTCGCAAACGACAAGCATAATGCTTTTAAGCTGTAAAAAACATTGTATTATAAGAAGTAAGAAGCTTACGTTATTCTCTTAGGAAAGTATGTTTAGACATTAATATTACTTAAACATTATAAAATTTTTAATTGATTATGCGAAGAAATGATTTTTGTTGATTGTATGTACATACATATATTAAAAATAATTGCAATATTATTTAAAATATCACAGAGATGATAATAATAATTACTTTGATATTGATACGATAAAATCTTTTTATTATTCGTTTTACGATTTTATATTCGTTTTATTATTTCATTTTATGCTCAACACTGTCATAGTACTGTCATAATGCTATATCGATGCTCAATTTAATATTTAGTACATCGCTAATAGGACGGAAATATATGATGCCGATATCTTCACAACCTATAATATTATTCGGGGAGGTAACGTATCATGAATCATATGAATGCATGTGTGATTATAAATACTAATAATCAATTAGTTAAATATATATATATATATATATAAAATTAACTTTAAAAATTATATCGTATTCTTTTCAATTTTTAATAATTTAGTAAAAAGTATATTTAGTTTAACGTTAACGTTAAGAAAATTTTTTAATATCTTTTTTGAACATATAGATAGGATCTGCTAAGTCTTTTACAATTTATGTCGTAGGAATCTTACACTAGCAAATCGGTCCAAAGAGAGATCCATAATTTTTCCAATTGTGATGGTTAATCGTTTTTGCGATCTTAAAATCACGAGCAATATAATTCGTTTTTTTTTTGTTGTTATGTCGTACCAAAGAGAATCGTAAGCCGCATCTCCGATCATTTTGCTCTAGAAAGAAAGGATTGATTTTGGATTTTTGTAATTAAAGTCATTAACAATTCTCGGCGCTAACCTTAACGTTCAAATATTCACCGACGAAACAATATACAAATGCCTCGAGGTTAATCACAATGTAATAAAGTACTGACTTCACCAAAATTACTACTCCGTTAGGTGCATCCATTGACTGTAATCTCGAACGTAGTAATTTAGAAACAATTTGTCTTGTTCTATGATACCGAATATATAAGGTAAATGTACCGGTTATTGGACAGTTAAGAAATTGCACGACGAAATCATTTATTTAAACTTTAGAAACATTAAAATTTTAGTTTATTACACATGCTTAATAAGAATGGATGTTTTCTGAAACTAAATCCATTATCAAATATGTTATTTGCGTTTATTATAAATTGTATTTAGTCATAAATATAATATGATTCAAATGTTCTAATTATTGCACAAAAAATGTGATTGTGTCCACAAAAGTATGACCCAATTATTGGACAAATAATAAGCAATTTTTTTATTATAGAATAGAATTGCATTTTACTTACTTATCAATCAAGATTGTACAAAAAAGTTTATCGAAATTATAATTAGTGAAGTTTTATATAAAGTTTTATATGTAATATATACAAAATATGTTTTTTAATCATTCAGTAGACAGGTACGCTAAGGAATGTCCAATAATTGATACACGCATATGTGTGAATGTCCTAATAAATTGACGATTGTCCATAAACGAAATTTTTTTTACAAAAGTATCATTTTTAATATGAATAAAATATATAATAGGTGGAAAATCTAAATAATATGAAAAATTGCTTAAAAATTTATTAAGAGTAACACATATCATCAAAATCTTAATATTTAAAATTGTCACAATTTGTCCAACAATTGGGTCATGTCCACGAAGTGGTACATTTACCTTACGCGTACAATTAATAGTATATTGTGTAACCGTAGGGGAATAACAACTTTCCCCCACTATTACACAATGTACTAGTAAATAAACAATATTCTTATATAATTTGCAATCTATAACGTGATGTTTTCCAACGTTACTCACGGTGATAATAATGAATCCTAGACAGCATATAATGATAGTGTCTGACACAAACAACATCAGCGCAATGTACGTATAAAGATTTTCAATGTACTCCGAAAACATGATTATCTGTTGATGCTTTGTTATCAATGCTTTCACCGTTATCCCGTCCACGGTATGCGTCATATTTTTGGAAAAGCCTTTCAGTAACCATTCGCAAAGGATATCAATTTGACCACCAATGTGCAGTATCTAGGGTTGTCTTAAATGATAAGAGTCACGATAACGTAATTCTACGCCGTTAAGTGGCATTTAAGAACTTACCAAAGTAATAATGAATGAATTTATCATGGAAGTTCCATAGCCACACATCGCCAGATTAAGAAATTCGAGAATCGTAACGAGCATGTAAATAGGAACCGTGTCAATCTGGAATGGCAGCTTCAGCTTCAAGATGTGTTCCCGCGCGGACACATTCATTCTTTGAATATTACCGGTGTTAATAGAAAGTACGCCGCAGGTGTACAAAATTATGGCACCAATTTGGAGTCCAATAATCCAACTCGAGATGCGGTGCGAGAGTTTGGCTTTGTTGGTCGTAATGCGCAGACTACGATCAGTTAGAACGCAGTTCCTCCAATCCATGGCCATCATTTGCAATATGTCAGAAAATGTTCTAAAAAAAAATTAGATATGTCAGTTAATATCATTATTTACATCTTTCAAGGAAGTAAATATTATTAACAAATTAAACAATTAGTAAATGAAATACGAAATTTATTTAAAAAATATTATCTACATATATATATTCCAAATCATAACTATACATTTGCAAAATGATAGATACAAGATGATAGATTTAATAATATAGAATAAAGTCTACTTGCAGGATATTACAGCATGTTACTAATCACTCATACAATTGATTATTTAAATATAACATTTTATATGCTAGCTATAATAAGAAACGGTAAAGAATATTCTTTGTAATGTTTATCTTACTGTTGATTCGCCCACAAAATAATGAGTTTGATGATAAATAGACTATATGTCATGGCACTGCTCACACCATCCATCAAGTCGGAGAAATTGTCGATGTAAAAGTGTATCACTACGTATTGATATTGAAAAAACTGAACTGTACCAAACATCACGATACAAAGCAATCGGAATAAAATGGTTGACGGTAGATAGGGCCAGATACCGTAGGCGTGAAGACCGATTTTTACCGCGCGACTGATCGTACTCATATCCATGTTTCCCGACTAAACGACAGGTAACGGACGGAGAATCGTTGATTAAAGGTGTACGTGTGCCACCAGACAATGTTACTCGCTGAAAAATCTAAGGAGGCGGAGTCTTCAAGAAAACCGTATTGCTAAACGTCGACCAATCGAAAAACTACTTGATAAATATTTTATCGCCACGTATCGCAAACTTTGACTGACCACGTGCAACGATTTCATCGACGATCGCACCTTGATACGTAAAAAAGTTAGAGGTATCACTTCTCCCTCCGCGAAGTAAAGTTTCTGACCACGGACAATGCTACCGTGTGTCTTCTTTAAAAATGCAACAACCCCGGGAGTGCAGCTTCCATGACCTGCCGCACAATGCGAAGTTGAAAAGTTTCGCTGTTGGGGGCGTATAAACGCAAGAGGACATGAACATATCGCCAAGGATGTTTCTCTGAAACGTTTTACGCGAAACTTATAACTCATATTGTAGTTAAAAATTGAAAGAAGCAAAACGAAAATAATAATACATACGATTTTTAGTGATTCTTTTTCTACAGCCAAAATGTATTATGTAATAAAATATTACTTACTGTAACATCTACTTCGTATTATTAAGTATAAACTTTTTTGCGATAAAACTGAAGATATAAATTCAAGATTATGTAGTAAAGCAGAAAAAATGCAGTTTGATGAAACGAACGTCGGATACGAAGTTGTGCACGACAGTTATAAAAAGTAATTCAAAACTTGAGGATGGGAACTAAAAGTGCCAAGAGAAAGCGAAATTACAAAAGTTTTTCAGTACCGCTTTTTTATCGTAGATGAAAAAAAATAACAAAGTAAGAGACAGAAAAAAAACTCAGGTTGATTTTATTAATATCACAATGAATATATGTTAAAACAAAGAAAGCTATAATCTTAATTTTCAGAGCTTCATATTAACGATTATTATAACACACCATTTTTAGGCAAGAGAAAATGCAAATTTAAAAAACTAAAATAATATGTCAAGTAAATTTTATTCATTTATTTTCGTGTTACTAAATTCCACTTTCGGTGTAATATTGTTTTATATTCATATTAATTATTACATATTATCTATCTTGAGTACATTGCCATTAGCACTGACATATATGACAACGATGCCTTTATTACCTAAAATATTATTGTTTGTGATAATAATAACATAAGCACGGAATATTTAAAAATTGATCAATACAATAATATAAAAAATATGTAATTATAAGCAATAATAACATAACAAAGTTACATACAATTACGTGTAATATAATAGAATGTAAAAATCATTATGATATTTACAACTCAAATTATAACTTAATTAATATGAAGAAATAAGAGAAGTGGGTTTTATTTTAAAAGAATGTATATTGTATTAATTAAAAAATTTTTAATTTAATATTAATCAAAATCTTCAAAAATATATTTATGATATGTTATATCAGAAATATTCGAGTTTCACAGCAGACGAATGCTAAAAGAAATATTATAAATAAAATCTTACACTGGTAAATCGTTCCAAAGAAAGGTCGACGATTTTTCCGCTCGTGATTGTCAATCTTTTCTGTGATCTTAGAATAAGAAACAATAAAGTTCGACTTTCTTTAATTGAAAAATCGTACCAGAGAGAATCGTATGCCGCACTTCCAATCATTTTGCTCTGAAAAAGGAAAAATATGAGATACGTTCAATATATTGGCGAATTAATGAAGCCATTCTTCTCTTGATGATAACCTTGGCGCTAAGATGTTCACCGCAGAAGCAGTATATAAATGCCTCGACATTCATCGAGATGTAGAATAACACAGATTTTACCAAAATCGCTGCGGCATTGGGTGTGTTGAGCGACTAAAATTTTTGCACATAAAGAAAATAATAACTTAGTATGAATTAGCTGCACATACACGATACTTTCATACGTCTTAAGTATAATATTAATAATCATGATCATATATTTTTTAACCGAATAAAAAATAATATAATAATATTGTCGAATATATAATATTCGACAATAGGTAACCAAATGTCAATTTGACATACATATTACTTACTGTGGCTATAATAAATCCTAAACAGCATATAATGATCGTGTCTGATAAGAGCATCATCAATGCAATATACGTATAAAGAGTTTCGATACTTTCTGCAAATATTATAATACGCTGATGCTTTATAATTAACGATTGCATTGTAATTTCGTCCAATGAATTCGTTGAATTCTTAGAAAAGATATTTGTCAACCATTCTCGAAGAATATCTATTTGACCGCAGATATGAAGTATCTAAGATTTATAGCTTTATAATCTTTTGTTCAGGAAAAAAATACACATAAAACATTATTTTTTTAGAATCAAACAAATTTTAAATTAAAAAATTATTTTTTAAATACATCAAAGACAAATATAATTTAGCAAATTATTTTATATATTAGTAAAATATTATTAAAACATAGTCTTTGCATACATATTAAATTTAATTTATTGACAATTTTATGTAATATAAAATCGCTAATTGGACGAATAAAAAAATTATAATTTACCTTGCATTTAATTTTGAGTATGCGTATCGCAATTCGAACTTACCAAAGTAACGAGAAGTGAATTGATAATCGTAATACCGCAGGCAACTAAAAATAGGTGATAAAATTGAACCGTTTGAACTGTTGCGTAAATAAAATCTGTACTAATATTGAATGGAAACTCCATTTTCAGAATAAGTTCTCGCGCGTACGGCTCTAATTTCTCGGGACTATTTGCATTAGCGGCGAGTACTCCGACACTGTAGAAAGTTGCGGAACCGATTTGCATGCCAACTATCCATCTCGAGGTGCGACGTGCAACATTCGCAACATTCGTCATTATGCGTGAGTTATAGGGATTCGAAGTATGAACTTGCCAATCTTCAGACATCATTTGTAATACATCAAAAAATATTCTACGGAAGGTGCACTCTTCGAGTTAATATCTGTTTTCATAGTCGTTACAAAATTAAATTAATTTCAATTTCAGCAAAAATATTTCATTAAAGTATCAGAAAAAATAAGTATCCGTAGTATTTACTAATGTATATACTTACAAAGCTTAAATAAATCAAATTAAATAAAATTAATAACCAATTTATTATTATTCAATATAGAAAAACTACGTAATTCGCGGAATATATTTCTTGATATTTTATTGGGTGCTATGTTTCGTGAACATTAGCATTTAACAATGTATCAAGATACAAAAGTAACTAGTTTTCAAGAAAACATGAAAGTTTCAGTAGTATTGTTATTCAACATTTTTCTTGATTAATAATTTCGTCAAATATTAATCATCATAGATAATGAAATGAGTAATAGAATTTGTACATATACTTTTTCTTAAATTGGTATATGTCCTACCGTTGATTGGTCCAAAGGATAACGAGTTTAATGTAAAGTAGAGAAGATGTCATTGCACTGCTTACTCCATCCATGTACTCAGAGAAATCGTCCATATGAATGTTCATCACTACATACCCATATTGAAAGATTTGGGCCATGCTTAGCATTACGATCCAATACATTCTGAACACCATAGTGGATGGTACATACGGCCACACACCGTAAATATGAAGACCGAATTTAACCAATCGACTAATCGTAGTCATTCCCATATTTCACTTTGACGACGTGGAACAAATCAATCGCTATAGGTCGTCGAGTAACTTTATTCGTACTAAATCTTGTTCGCGGGTTGACAACCCCACAATTCGTGTCATCGACCATTGACCAATCACAAATTATTAAATATTTCTGTTATGAAAAAACTACAGTTGTTATTTTAGAAATAATGAATATGTGGATGATAGGGAGGGTCCCCTTCCACCCAACTTTCGACCACGATACAGTTATACATCCTTTTTAAAAATGTAGTAGATCAGGGAAAGGTGAAACTTCGGGTGAAGCGCAGCTTCCAAGAATTGCTTCCTGCGAGGTCGAAAAGTTTTGCTGTTGGGGATATATAAACGAAGAAGGGTGTAAATATATCTTCGAGGGTATATTCCTTTAGAACGTGCTTTGCGCAAAGCTTATAGCTCGTGTTGCAAATAGTCGCAAATAGAGAGAAACTCGATGAAAACGTCTGAATATCAGGCAAAGAAGCACAAAGTTTACTGGTTTTGAGTGATTCGGTTTTTCTTACAGTCAAAATATACATTACATAAAATAATATTGTTATACCAGTGCCGAGTTTCGTGTTGGATCGAGTCACCGGTTAAGAAAATGAAGAGCACGTTCCCTAGACTATGGGGATGTATACGTTGTCAAGCAGGACGACTTTAAGTTTGGTGTTGAGCTGTTATCCCGGATATTCGGATGTACTTTGCCTCGCTTTGGTTTTACGCTGTTTTACACTGCTTTTGCTGTATACCCTTGTCGTGTTAAATAAATAAGGCATTTTTTCTTTCAATACGAGTATCTTATTCATTGTCGATAGTGCGACTACGTGCACGAGTGCCTGATCGTTCGTTGCGGATGTAATATTTTGTAAATAAAACTGTTAATTTTTCTCAGTATATACCATGTTTTCATTGTAAGTAAACTAAGTAACAAACTATAGAAATTAGGAAAAAGAACCTCGGATTGATATTATTAATAATATCACAATGACTATCCGTCGAAACGAAAAAGCTTTAATTTTAGTTTTCAGCCTCATGTAAAACTTTCTTGGGGAAAAGAAAGTGCAAATTGTAAGAAGCAACTCTTAGAATAATATTTCAAATAAATTATATATATATATATATATTTTCATATTACTAAATTCCACTTTCGGCATTAATATTTTATATATTAATATTTATTATAAATACATTATCTATACTGAGTACATTGTCATTAGTACTGATATATACGACAACGCTGCCTTTATTACCTAAAATATTATTATTTGTAATCACATAATAACATACGCACGTAATATTTAAAAATTGGACAATACAATAACATAAAAAATGTGCATTTAAGCAATAATAAGATAACAAAGTTATATATATTTACGTGTAATACAATAAAATGAGATATGAACATCATTATGCCGATATTTACAATTCAAATTATTATTTAATTAATATGAAAAAATAAATATAGTTTATTTAATAAATTTTGTTTAAAGAAAAATGAATGTATGTCACGTTATTTACGTAACAAGGGGGCAAAAATTTCTACTTTAATATTAATCAAAATCTTCATAAAGTAATTATATACATTATGAGAAATATTTGAGTTTCACAGACAAGCACATGCTAAAAGAAATATTATAAATAAAATCTTACACTGGTAAATCGTTCTAAAGAAAGATCGACGACTTTTCCACTCGTGATTGTCAATCTTTTCTGCGATCTCAGAATCAGAAACAGTATAATCCGACTTTCTTTGGTTGGAAAATCGTACCAGCGAGAATTGTACGCTGCATTTCCAATCATTTTGCTCTGAAAAAGAAAAAATAGAGATACGTTTTATACATATACCTGTGACTTAATGAAGCTGCCATTTTTCCCTTGATGCTGACCTTGGCGCTCAGATGTTCACCGCAGAAGCAGTATATAAATGCCTCGATGTTCATCGAGATGAAGAATAATACAGATTTCACCAAAATCGCTGTGGCATCGGGTGTGCTGATACACTAAAATTGTCGTACACAAATATAATAATAACTTAATATGAGTTAACTCTACATACGCGATACTTTCATACGTCGTATGTGTTACGTCCTGACGACTCCACAGTTCTTTTTTCTGAGGAAAGCTATATCTTTTTGAATACGAATAATCATAGGGCAGTGTCAATTGCGTGGAAAATGGAATATCGGTTTTTGAATGAATCATCATATCTTAAAATTGGCGTGTCATGCTTTTTTGAAGCCTCTTTTCGTTGAGGCTGTTGGAATTCTCTGATTTTGATGTGATTTCGTATTCGAGGATTTTCGGAGTCGATTATTTCGAATCTGTACTCAAAAATTGAAAATTCGAAATAGCTGATCTAATATGGCGGACGGAAATGTTACGGAAATCCTAAAGATTTTTCAATTTTGGTGAAATTTGGTATATTGGTGATTTAGGGGACGATCGTTACGAATCTTTAGTCAAAAATTGAAAGTTCGAAATAGTTGATCCAATATGGCGGACGGAAATGTTACTGAAATCCTTAAGATTCTTCGATTTTGTTGAAATTTGGTTACAGGTGGTTTTTGGGGACGTTCGTTACGAATCCGTATTTAAAAATTGAAAGTTCAAAATGGCGTTTTGATTCAGTCTTTTAAAATCTGTTTTCGTTAATCTGGCGGATGGAGTATAAGGGGAATTTTGGTTTTAGTGTGTTTTTGAAGAAGAATTTAAATTAGCAAAAAAAAGCCCTTCAAAAATTTGTACTTGATTTTTCACTTGCTGCTATTTTTCTTTGAAAAATGGATGGACGTGCCAACTTTAGTCTTAAGTCAGCACAGCCACACTGTGGATCGAATCCTTCGACGTAAACGATGAGCAAAAAAAATCGGATTCTGGATATTCTTAGAGCAAATAATTCTAGAAACATTTTGAGATCAAAATGATCCCGTCAATTAATTGCTTTAATGTACTTTACTCTTGTTCGCGACCCAGCACAGCCACACTGTGGGACGAATTTTTCGACGTAAACGATGAGTAAAATATCGGATTCTGGATATTCTTAGAGCAAATAATTCTAGAAACATTTTGAGACCAAAATGATCCCGGCAATTGATTGCTTTAATGTACTTTACTCTTGTACGCGACCCAGCACAGCCACATTGCGGGTCGAATTTCTCTACGTAAACGATGAGCAAAAAATTCGGATTGTGAACATTCTTAGAGCAAATAATTCTAGAAACATTTTGAGATCAAAATGATCCCGTCAATTAATTGCTTTAATGTACTTTACTCTTGTACGCGAACCAGCACAACTACACTGTGGGTCGAATTTTTCGTCATAAACGTTGAATAAAAAAATAAGCTAAATATTGTTTATCAAAATGGTAGAATTAATGTGGCGATCGAAAACAATAATGAAATTCTAAAGGTTTTCAAATTTCAGGGAAATTTTGTATTAGTAGGAATTAGAGGAGTTGTTGATTTTAAAACAAGTTTCAAAGAAACATAATTCATAATATTTAAAAAGAGCACAATGGACCATCGCGCGCGTAGCGCGCGCAAGGAATGTGCTAGTTAATTAAATATTATAAATAATAAGATTCAATCTATTGCACCAATCGAATCGAAGAAATAAAACAATTAATCATCAATGTTTGATCAAGAGCACGTGCATCTCGTGATCCTATAATTCGTTGATTAGCCATAACACAAACAATATCATTTCTAATCACTTCTATTTTTGGAAAAACATAGACAATAATTCAAAGATCCATTTAAAAAATCATCATAATTTATATACTCCTATCTTGCTTCCAAATCCAAATTTGGAAGCAAGATAGGAAAAAAAGGCTGGTGAGAGTCACATGTCAAAATAAAAAATCACATATATTAATGTCCTTGGAAATAACAAATATATTAATAAAAACGCAAAAAAACGCTAGGATATTTTTAAACTAAAAGTAACGCACAAAGATTCATATATAAAAATTTTACGTTACATTACATGTATTCGGCCTTGTATTACATTGGATTCAATTTGTATTTCTTTGGATTCATTTAAATTAATCCTTTTTATGCATACTTCATATTGAAATGAAGAATCTTGGAGCTCGGACGTAACACATCAACAACAATTACCATTCTTTTCGCCTCGATATGTAATATTTGCAAAAATAGGTAACCAAATTTCACTTTGCCATAATACTTACGGCGGCTATATTAAATCCTAAACAGCATATAATGATTGTGTCTGTTAAAAGCATCATCAATGCGATGTATGTGTAAAGAGTCTCGATATTGTCTGCAAATACGATAATGCGCTGGTGCTTTATAATCAACGACTGTACAGTAATTTCGTCCATTGAATTGGTTGAATTTTTAGAAAAGAAATTTGTCAACCATTCTCGAAGAATGTCTATTTGACCGCTGATATGAAGTATCTAAGATTTATAGTTTTCTCAAGAACACACACACATTTTTTAGAATTAAAAATACTTTATGTTTGAAAAATAATTTTTTAGAAACATCAAAGACAAATATAATTTTGCAAATTATTTTATATACCTGTGAAATATTAAAACACAATGTTTGCACAAAATGAAATTTAATTTATCAATAATCTTATTTAACATGAAATCTTTACTTGGAAAAATCAAAAACCATAACTTACTTTACATTTAATTTTATGTAGACGTATTGCAATTTAAACTTACCAAAGTGACGAGAAGTGAATTGACAACCGTAATACCGTAAGCAACTACAAATAGGTGATACAATTGAACCGTTTGAACCACTGTGTAAATAAGTTCAGTACTAATGTTGAATGGGAACTCCATTTTCAGAATAAATTCTCGCGCATACGGCTCTAACTTCTTGGGACTAAATGCATTAGTAGCGAATACGCCAACAGCGTAGATAGCTGCGGAGCCGATCTGTATAGCAATGATCCATCTTGAGATGCGACGTGTAACATTCTTCGCATTCGTCATTATGCGTGAGTTATAGGGATTTGAAGTATGCACTTTCCAATCCTCAGACATCATTTGTAATACATCAAAAAATATTCTACGGAAGGTGCACTCTTCGCGTTAATATCTGTTTTCATAGTCGTTACAAAACTAAATTAATTTTAATTCCGACGAAAGTATTTCATTAAAAATCAGAAAAAAAAAACAAACATGATGTGAGCTTCATTTTATCTTTTTCTGCAAGTACTGAGCAATAATAATAGAATAAAGCTTACAGCGCGTGAGCGTGATAAACGAACGCAGTCCAATCGTGTGCATACTCGCAAATCTTAAATAAACAAATATGAAAAATAGCTCTCTAAAGTGGCGTTAATACAATAAAATTGAAAAATGAAACTTTATTTGGTCACAAAAATGGCAAGTACGGTAAATAATGTTTTCTCCAAATCATCTAATTTATCATGAAAACTTTAGGTATTTGTTGTTGACGGATTTGCATTAAGCTATCTCGAATTTTTTAAGAGATACTGGCCTGCTCGCCATAAATTTTCTTGTTTAACTGTGTCATTAAATGCCACGTTTTGTAAACATTCGCATTTAACTACGAATCAAGTCATGAAGATAATCAACTATTGACGGTAACATATAATTTTTTTCAAGGAAACGTGAAAGTCTTAAAATCACTATTATTCAATATTTTTCTTGATTGATAATTTCAACAAATGTTAATCCTCATCGATAATGAGACGAGTAACAGGATTTACGTATATTACTTTGTAAGTATACCCTACCGTTGATGGGTCCAAAGAATAACGAGTTTAATGTAAAGTAAAGTAGACGTTATTGCACAGCTCACTCCCTCCAAGTATTCGAAGAAGTCGTCCATGTGAACGTTTAATACTATGTATCCGAACTGAAAGGTTTGAGCCGTGCTTAGCATTATGATCCAATACAATCTGAACACTATAGTGGACGGTACATACGGCCATATACCGTAAATATGAAGACTGAATTTAAAAAATCGACTAATTGTAGTCATCTTTATATTTCTTTTTGACGAGACGCAGAACAAATCAAACGCAATACGTCGTCGAGTTTATTCACACTAAATCTTGTTCGCGGGTTGACAACTCCACGATTCATGTCATCGACCACATTGACCAATCACAGCTTATTAAATATTTCTGTTACATTGTATACGAGAAAAGAGGGAAAAAATTGCAATTGTTATTTTAGAAATAATGAATATGTGTAGACGATAGGGGAGATTGTCTTTTTTATCAAACTTTCGACTATGATACAGTTATACCCTTTTTAAAAATGTAATAGGCAAAGGAAAGGCGAAGCCTCCGGTGAAGCGCAGCTTCCAAGAACTGTTCGCTGCGAGGTCGAAAAGTTTCGCTGTTGGGGCTGTATATACGGAGAACGACGTATTATATCTCCAAGGATATATTCTTCCGAAACGAGCTTTGCGCAAAGCTTATAGCTCATGTTGCAAATAGTCGGAAAGTGAATGAAGCATGATGAACAGCAGAACATGCTAGAATATCTATCAAAGAAGTACAAAGTTTACCGAGTTCATGTGATTCCGCTTTATAGTCAAAATTTACATTATATAATAATATATGAGTATAACATATTAAGTGAACAGACAAGTGAGAGTAAAACTGCACTCTGTTAATAGTGCGCTAACATTGATCTATATATTTCATAATTTATATATATATATATATATATATATATATATATATAATATTGTTCTATTATTGAACGTTTTGACTAAATTTCAGTCATCTTCAGTGAATTATATAACATACGAGTATGTTTATATGACGTTAAGTTTTCCAAATATTTTATACTAGTACTTTTTGAAGTATTGCATCTTAATGAACAATTCCTGTTGGAGGAGTGCGTCTATTACCATCATCTATATGACACTGTAAACGTTAAGACAGTAATTGTAACAAATTTAAATGCGTTCAGATATAATAAAATGTTGTCAAGTCAATACTTAAAACCGTTATAACTGACATTAAGAAAAATTGTAAGACAATGAGAAAGTAGAAAAAGAGAGGAATATGATGAAAGAGAGGGGGAAGAAGAAACGAAGGGAAGTGGAAGCTATGAGGGGGAAAGGGATTGTATTATACTTACAATTAGATAAGAGTCTGGTAATATAATAATAATATTATTAATTCTATTATTAATAATAAGTCGAAACAAAAAAGCTTTAATTTTAATTTTCAGCCTCGTATGAAACTTTCTTGGAGAAAAGGAAATACAAATTGTAAAAAGCAACACTGAAATTATATTTCGAATAAACTTTATATATTTATTTTCATGTTACTAAGTTCCACTTTCGGCATTAACGTTTTATATGTTAATATTTACTATAGATACATTATCTATCCTGAATACATTGTCATTAGTACTGACATATATGACAATGCTGCTTTTATTACCTAAAATATTATTATTTGTAATCATAATAACATACATACGTAATATTTGCAAATTCGACAATACAGTAATATAAAAGATATGCATTTAAGCAATAATAAGATAACAAAGATGTATATATTTACGTGTAATTCAATAAAATAAAATATGAATGTCATTATGCCAATATTTACAATTCAAATTATTATTTAATTAATATGAAAAAATAAAAATAGTAAATTTTGTTTAAAGAAAAATGAATGTTACATTATTTACGTAACAAGGGAGCAAAAATTTCTACTTTAATATTAATCAAAATCTTCATAAATGTAATTATATATTATATATGTAAGAAATATTTGTTTCACAGACAGGCGCATGCGAAAGAAATATTGTAAATAAAATCTTACGCCGGTAAATCGTTCTAAAGAAAGGTCGACGACTTTTCCACTCGTGATTGTCAATCTTTTCTGCGATCTCAGAATAAGGAACAGTATAATTCGACTTTCTTTGGTCGAAAAATCGTACCAGCGAGAATTGTACGCTGCATTTCCAATCATTTTGCTCTGAAAAAGAAAAAATAGAGATACGTTTTATACATATATCTGCGAATTAATGAAGCTGCCATTTTTCCCTTGATGCTAACCTTGGCGCTCAGATGTTCACCGCAGAAGCAGTATATAAATGCCTCGACGTTCATCGAGATGAAGAATAATACAGATTTCACCAAAATCGCTCTGGCATCGGGTGTAGTGATACACTAAAATTTTCGTACACGCGAATATAATAATAACTTAATATGAGTTAGCTCTCTCTACATACGCGATACTTTCATACGTCTTAAGTGTTACGTCCTGAAGACTCCACAATTCTTCTTTTTTGTGAGGAAAGCTGTATCTTTTTGAATAATCAGGGCAGTGTCAATTGCGTGAAAATCGAATATCGAATTTTGAACTGATTAGTTAAATATTATAAATAAGATTCAATCTATTGCACCAACCGAATCGTCGAGACAAAATGGTTAATCATAAATATTTGATCAAGAACACGTGCGCCTAATGGCCCTATGATTCATTGATTAGCCATAACACAAAAAAATATCGTCCTTAATCACTCCTATTTTTGGAAAACCTTAGCCAATATTTCAAAGATACATAAACATAAATTTTATACTTAAATTACCGAAATCGCAATAAATTTTTGTAGTTAGTGTCATGAAATAAGCGTAGATTTATTTGCCTACTCCCGACTTCATTTTCCTTACTGCTAAAATCGCATGAGGTCCGTTACCTGATTAGAGGGGTTAAATTCCTTGATCTAAAATAAAGGATTAATAGACGCACTATCTTAGCCGGTGTTATACTGCTTTTTATCAACGTTCACCCGTACCTGAAATTCTTTCTATTAATGCTTTAGTGGCACGCAACATAGAACAATAAGCTACAAAAACGATTTCAGTTATATATTCTTCTTTAGGCTGCTCCACATTTCGTCAATTTCATTGAAAAGAAGAATACTGGGGCTTGGACGTAACATATTAATAATTATTACCATTCTTTTTCGACTGGATATGTAATATTTACAACAATAGGTAACCAAAAATTTCACTTTAACATATATTACTTACGGTGGCTATATTAAACCCAAAACAACATATAATAATTGTGTCTGTTAAGAGCATTATCAATGCGATATATGTGTAAAGTGTCTCGATATAGTCTGCGAATACGATAATGCGCTGATGTTTCATAATCAACGATTGTAAAGTAATTTCGTCCATTGAATCGGTTGAATTTTTAGAAAAGAAATTTGTCAACCATACTCGAAGAATATCTATTTGACCGCTGATATGAAGTATCTAAGATTTATAGTTTTCTCAAGGAACACACACACATAACAAATTATTTTTATAATTAAAAAAATTTTATGTTTGAAATATAATTTTTTAAAAACATTTAAAACAAATATAATTTAGTAAATTATTTTATATACTTGTGAAACATAATGTTTGCACATAAAAAAATTTAATTTATTAATAATCTCGAGTAACATGAAATTGTTAAATGGAAAAATCGAAAGACCATAATTAAGTTTGCAATTAATTTTATGTAAACGTATTGCAATTCAAACTTACCAAGGTGATGAGAAGTGAATTGACAACCGTAATACCGTAAGCGACTATAAATAGGTAATATGTTTGAACCGTTTGAACCACTGTGTAAATAAGTTCTGTACTAATGTTGAATGGGAACTCCATTTTCAGAATAAATTCTCGCTCGTATGGCCTTAATTTTTCGGGACTATATGCATTAGTGGCGAATATGCCGACAGCGTAGATAGCTGCGGCCCCGATTTGTATGGCAATAATCCAGCTCGCGAAGCGACGTGTATCATTCGTCGCATTCGTCATTATGCGTAAGTTATAGGGATTCGAAGTAAGAACTTTCCAATCCTCAGACATCATTTGTAATACATCATAAAATATTCTACGGAAGGTGCACTCTTCGCGTTAATATCTGTTTTCATAGTCGTTACAAAACTAAATTAATTTTAATACCGACGAAAATATTTCATTAAAAATCAGAAAAAAACAAACATGCTGTGAGCTTCATTCTATCTTTTTCTGCAAATACTGAGCAATAATAATAGAATGAAGCTTACAGCGCGTGAGCGTGAAAAACGAACGCAGTCATAATATACAATTGTCTGCATACTCGCAAATCTTAAACAAACAAATTAAATAGAATCAAATATCAATTAATTATTATTTGATACAAAAAGACTACTTAATTGATGGACTATATTTCTTAATTACACTATCCGTTATAAAAGATCCTGCATTAATCTTATATGAAATTAGCTGCCGATGGTTTTCTCATATTATGTACATATTATATATACATATATATGTTATATATTATGACCTGTTAAGTAAAACAGGTGTCATTAAATGCTACGTTTTGTAAACATTCGCATTTAACTATGAATGAAGTCATGAAGATAATCAACTATTGACGATAACATATAATTTTTTTCAAAGAAACGTGAAAAAGCCTTAAAATCACTATTATTCAATATTTTTCTTGATTGAAAATTTTGACAAATGTTAATCCTCATAATGAGACGAGTAACAGGATTTACGTATATTACTTTGTAAATACGCCCTACCGTTGATGAGTCCAAAGAATAACGAGTTTAATGTAAAGTAGAGTAGATGTTATTGCACAGCCCACTCCCTCCAAGTATTCGAAGAAGTCGTCCATGTGAACGTTCATTACTATGTATCGAAACTGAAAGGTTTGAGCCGTGCTTAGCGTTATGATCCAATACAATCTGAACAGAATAGTGGACGGTACATATGGCCATATACCGTAAATATGTAGACCGAATTTAAAAAATCGATTAATTGTAGTCATCTTTATATTTCTCTTTGACGAGACGCAGAACAAATCAGTCGCGGTACGTTGTCGAGTTTATTCGTACTAAATCTTGTTCGCGGGTTGACAACTCCCACGGTTCATGTCATCGATCATTGACCAATCACAGCATATTAAATATTTCTATTACATTGTACGAGAAAAGAGAGAAAAAATTGCAATTGTTATTTTAGAAATAATGAATATGTGGACGATAGAAGAGGTTCTCTTTTTTTTTTTCAAACTTTCGACCATGATACAGTTATACCCTTTTTAAAAATGTAATAGGCAAAGGAAAGGTGAAGCCTCCGGTGAAGCGCAGCTTCCAAGAACTGTTCGCTGCGAAAAGTTTCGCTGTTGGGGCTGTATGTACGGAAAAGGACGTAATATATCTCCGAGAATATATTCTTCCGAAACGAGCTTTGCGCGAAGCTTATAGCTCGTGTTGCAAATAGTCGCAAATTGAAAGGAGCATGATGAAGACAGCAGAACGTGCTAGAATATCTAGCAAAGAAGCACGAAGTTTACCGGTTTTTTGTGATTCTGTTTTTAGTCAAAATGTACGTTATAAAGTAATATATAAGTATGACATATTGAGTGAACAGACAAGTGAGAGTAAAACTGCTCTGTTAATGGTGCGCTAACATTGATCTATATATTCTATATTTACATGTAAATATAATATTGTTTCCATTTTTGGACATTATAAATTTTATTCATCTTCAGTGAATTATATAACAGACGTGTATGGGTTTATATGACGTTAAGTTTTCAAAATATTTTACTAGTACCTTCTGAAGTATTGCATCTTAATAAAAAATTCTTCACAATTCCTGTTGGAGGACGTTAGACAGTTATTATAACAAATTTAAAATTAATAGTCAGAGTATAACTCATATACAATGTGTCATTAACCGATTAAATTACCTATCAAGAGAAGGTAGAGTAGAGTGAACTAAGTCGAAAAGTCTTATACCATTTTGCAATTTACGCGATATTTAACGAGATATTAGACCTTATTGATAGCCGAATAAACGCGTTCGTTCGGCCTATCTCGTCTAATATCTCGTTAAATACTGCGTAAACTACAAAATAGTATAAGACTTTTCGACTCAGTTCGGTTTACTCTACCTGCTCTTGATAGGTGATTTAATCGGTTAATGACACCCTGTACATTAGTTAATTAAAAACATTGTATAGAATCTATAGATTCTATAGATTTTATATAATATAGTATAGAAGATTAAACCTAAACGAAAAAAGAATTGGTAACTCATCATATGCAATCTAAGAAGATTGTCGAATTTTTAATGCATTTTTTGTCAATTTTTTGAAAAAATTGTCATTACAAGTGATTCATCGGATCGAATAGTGACACGTATTATAATACATCAAACATTTTTCAAGCGTTACATGGAATAATAATAATGTTTGAAACAAATCATATATATTTATTTTCATCTTGCTAAATTCTTACTACTGTTTCATATTATTATTGTAATTATCTCAATACATTACCTATCTTCAGTACATTGCCAATAGCACCGATATATATGACAACGATGCTTTTACTACCTGAAATATCATTGTTTGATTATATGTAAATGTACGAAATATTAAAAAATTAATCAATATAATAATATGAAGAAAAATATAATTAAATAATTATAATAACGAATGAAAGCTGTATAGAAAGAGTGTAATATAATAAGATGTAAAATTGTTATGAACATCGTTATGCTAACTACAGGTAAAATTGTTATTTAATTAATATGAAGAAATAAATATAGTGAATTTTATTTTAATTTAATATGTATTATTACTATTGTATAACAAGAGAACGAACACTCACTCAATATTAATAGAAACCAAAAAATATTTGTTATATGTATATATATAATATTATCTATATATAATATGTATGTATAAAGTCTATAGAAATATTCAAGTTTTGCGTTATAAGACAGACAAATGCAAAAAAATTATCGCAAGTTAAATCTTACACTGGTAAATCGCTCCAAGGAAAGGTCGACAATTTTTCCACTCGTGATCGTCAATCTTTTTTGTGATCTCAGAATAAGGAACAGTACAGTTCGACTTTCTTTCGTTGAAAAATCATACCAGAGAGAATCGTACATCGCACTTCCAATCATTTTGCTCTGAAAAAGGAAGAATATGAGATACATCTATAAATTAATAAAGCATTTTAATCTTAATGCTGACCTTAGCACTCAGATATTCGCCACAGAAGCAGTATATGAATGCCTCAAGGTTCATAGAGACGTAGAATAATACAGATTTCACCAAAATCGCTGCGGCATTGGGTGTGTCGAGCGACTAAAAATTCCATGCTTCATATTATATATATACATATAACAATTTAATAAGCTAGTTGCATGTGCACACACACACGCACACACGCAATGATTCTAGACATCTTCAGTATTAATAAAATAACTATTATCAATTGCTTGACTCGCTATATAATATTTGTCATTCGACGTTGTAATAATATAATAGAACGTCACTTTGGACACATTACTTACCGTGACGATAATAAATCCTAAACAACATATAATCATTGTGTCTGATAAGAGCATCATCAATGCGATGTACGTGTAAAGAGTTTCAATATTTTCTGCAAATTTTATAATACGCTGGTGCTTTGTGATCAATGATCGCAGAGTAATTTTGTTCATTGAATCCGCTGAATCTTTGGAAAAAACTTTTGCCAACCATTCTCGAAGAATGTCAATTTGACCACAGGTGTGAAGTATCTAAGGTTTTTTTATTCAAAAAAATAATTTTTTGTTTTTCTAAAGAGGGAGAGATCATAAAGCTATAAAGTTTTATAATCTCTCTTTTCCAGGAAAGTATTAAAAAATTTTTTTAAAGTAATTTTTCAATTTATTGATAATTTTATTTAATATATGATTTTAATTAAAAAAGATTAAAAAGGGAATAAAATTACTCCTCGCTTTCAATTTTGTCTCGTGCAATTTGGACTTACCAGAGTAACAAGAAGTGAATTAATAATCGTTATACCGCAGGCGACTAAAAGCAGATGATAAATTTGAACAGTTTGAACTGTCATGTAAATAAAATTTGTGCTAATATTGAATGGCAGCTCCATCTTTAGAATAAGTTCTCGCGCGTATGGTTCTAATCTTTCAGGATCGTTTACGTTAGCGGCGAATACACCGGCACTGTATAAAAATACAGCGACCACTTGCGTGCCAACAATCCATCTCGAAGTGCGATGTGCAACGTTCGCCGTGTCTGTCATTATGCGTAAGCTATAGCGGTTTGAATGATAGTCTTGCCAGTCCGTAGACATCATTTGCAATACATCAAAAAATATTCTACGGAAGATCAGATGCACCATTCATATTAATATCTATTTCATTCGATTTTGATTAATTTTGGAATTTTGTGTGTGTGCACATATTTTATTAAAGTTTCAAAAAGAATAGGCAACTCCTAATATTGTACACACTTGTGCGTATATAATCTCAAATCTTATTCAAATCAATTATATTAAGAATTGATTATTATTCGATTTTTTTTTTGCCGATAGTTTCGACAAAAATGTCGATAATGAGATATAACATGATTTGCATTTTTTTCACAAATACGCCCTACCGTTGATGGGTCCAAAGAATAACGAGTTTAATGTAAAGTAGAGTAGATGCCATTGCGCTGCTCACTCCGTCCATGTACTGGGAGAAATCATCCATATGAATATTCATTATTACGTATCGGTACTGAAAGACTTGGGCTATGCTTAGCATTACGATCCAGTACGATCTAAATAGCACAGTGGACGATACATATGGCCATATACCGTAAACGTGAAGGCCAAATTTGACCAATCGACTGAGAGTGACTAATTCCATATTTTTCTTGGGCAACGGGGAGAACAGATCAGTCTTGTTACAAAATATCGCGTTTGTAGAATAACTTTATTTATACTAAAATTTGATCACGAGTCGACGGCCAAACGTAACCCATGTTATCGGCCATTAGCCAGTCACAATTTGTTTAAATATTTCTATTACATTTGCGCAGAAAAAAAGAAAAAGTTTCAACTATAATTTTGAAAATAATGGAGCGACGAAAAAGAAAAAGCTGTACTGTAATTTTAGAAATATAGATGACAGAGATAGTCCCCTTCTTTTCGAACTTTCGATTACAATGCAACTATATTCTCTTTAAAAATGCAACAGGTAAAGAAAAGGTGGAGCTCAGCTTCGACGAATTGCGTGCCGCATGGTTGAAATGTTTTGCTACTGGGGGAAAAACGTAACGTGGCGGATCGAGAGGGAGAAAAGCTAAGACGTATCGTAGGAGAAAGACCAGTGTAAAGATTACATTCGGCGCTATAGGCAGCTTACAAGAGGGCTCGCCGCTTGGGCAGTTGAACAGCGGCGGTGCAAGCAGAAATATAGCGGTTTATACAGAACAACGATACAGGCAAAGAAAGTGCAGTTCATCGGGAGATTTTTTTCTTAAGATCAAGGCAAGTAATCTATAATAATATACTACTATCGTGTATATTATTTCTTCACTGCACCTTTAATATAATAAGTTTGACTTCTTACAGTTTCGTGTGTGTATTTGGTTATGCGTTAAGTATCTTCCAAATCAATTTTTAATTTTTAATACGAAAACGCTAATAATTGATTAAATTAATTGTTTTTAATGAAATACGTTTATTTTTGGTCATCATTTTATTATCAGATTTGGTAAAGTACATCGATCTAAAATATCAACAATGTATTTATAGCTCTGCCTTTATGCACTGCAGGCTAAATAAAGCCATCGTGAATGGATGCTTCGGGAAATCGATGCTTCAGTAACTCCGCTTGTCTACACGCGCACACTTGATGTAAAACTCCGCCTCTTTGAATAGGAAAATTGTTAACCGTGTAAATTGACGGTAGTAAACGTATATACGATATCCTTTTGCACGCGAAGATATAAGCAACATGTAGTGTATTAAAACTTCAATACATCGCGTATAACACTGACACGTACGACGCCGAAGCTTTCACTATCTGTAATATGATAGAAGTAATTACTGCCATCATTAACGTCATAAAAATGACGAAGCTACTAATAAAAATTGCTAGGCTGTGGCACATTTACACGTTAACAATTTGCTTATAAATATAACTTTTCCTAATCACTTCTATTACATTACTAATTTCTTACGCTGGCAAACTGCTTAAGGGAAAGATCCATGACCTTTCCGATCGTGAGCGTCAAGTGTTTCTGTGATCTTATGATCAAGATTAAAATATCTCGATTTTGATTCGGATTCAGTTCATACCAAAGCAATTCATACGCTGCATCGCCGATCTTTTGGCTCTGAAATGTACAATAAATGATCTTACATTATATATAGCAGTGTATCGTATCCAATTTGCTTAAAATACTGACTTTTGTACTGAGATGCTCTCCGAGGAAACAAAATATGAACGCTTCCATGCTCATAACAATGTAAAAGAACACGGACTTTATTAGCATAGGCATTCCATCCGGGACACCAATAGACTAAAATTTTTTAATATTTTAAATTTCAAAATTATAAGTTATGTTTTTTACGTGTACTTACGATCACAATAAGAAATCCTAGACAACAAATAACCATAGTATTTGATACGAATTGTAATAGCGCGATATTTGAGAAAAGGGCTTCGATGTTCTTGGAAAAAAAGATAATCTTTTGATGCCGAATAATCAACATTTTTATAATCCTTCCATTTACACCTCGCTTGATATCCTTTTGCGTGACTTCACACAATTTTTGTCGCATAATGTCAATCTGTCCGCACACATGAAGAACCTAAATGTGCACTCAGTGTTAATTCAATTTAATGTTTCGCTTAGTGAAAGCGTGTTTTCACTGTTTCAATAAATACCACAATTTTTTCAATATAAAACGAAAAATTGTTACTAATTAAGATATTATTTATACATTTGCTTTATTTATTATATTTTAAATAGATTCAATTCCGAAAATTCTTCTTCTCTACACGTCAAATTATTCTTTTCATTTGTTCTTTTTTACAATTTTTAGAAACACACTTTGATAAATTATAAGAAAAATTCGAACTTACTAATGTTATTAGCAAGGAATTCATCACGCCCACGATACTGGCTGCGCTTGTCTGATGAACATATTGTGTAATAAAAACAGCTACATGCACCGATGTGCTCCTGATCTCAAAAGGTAATTCCATTTTAAGGAGAAGCTCTCGAGTGTCAGTCTGATTATTACTTTTAAATCTCAACAAAGTACCAGTTGCATAAAGGAACACCGAAAGCGCGTACAAAGCAATTATGAAGTTGGAGAACCGACGAGAGATGTACGCCATCCTAGTCATCGTGTATTCGTCGTAAACATCACGTTCCTTCCAGTCAGCTACTACGTGTGCTATGATTTCGTTCAGCAGACTGTAACGGAAAGACTATAAAGAAATATAATATTGACCGAGTCGTGCAAAAAGGCGAAGACTTTTTTACTTCGCAAGGTGTAAGAGAGTTACAAATTAATAGCAAAACTGATATAAATTCAAGATTCTTTCTTTCGTCTTACGATCTGGAATCTAAAGAAAATAATTCGGGATATATTTATTTTGGGAATTATATTCGTATCTCAGTATCGCAACGAAGAAGCTTACCGAGCATTGAATGCAAAAATAATCAATTTGATTAACAGAAGGCTGTAAGCCATAGTTGCGCTTAATACGTCCATGAGGAGTAAGAGATCCTTCTGGTCGAAATGCAAGATCACGTGCCAATATTGAAAAATCTGAAACACCGCCATTGAAGATATACACAACATTCTGCGTAAGATTGCATATGACGTGCCCGGCCATACGCCGATTATGCGAAGTCCGAACTTGACAGGGTGACACACGATATTCCCCGAGTCTATACAGATATTCATTGAATCCGAGCAAATTAGTCTCACAACACGATAGCACCAACGTGTTATAACACTAATACTTTAAGTTAACACAATTTTCTTCTCCGTCTATGGCGTTATAGTAAAACTATACACAGAGAAGAGACATAAATTTGTTTAACAAATTATTTAAAATAAATGATGAGTGCATACAGCTTAAGTAGAGTAACATTATATTTTATAATGTTATCAGTGAAAACACGGCTCTGAAATTTCCAACTGCAACATGATCAATTATTTCAGCTTAGTTACAATTAAGTCATGTGGTCGATCAAACGGCCTTAGTGCGACTATAAAATTCTATGGATTCAGTACTCAAGTAAACCTCTTCCTCCCAGTTGTAAATCAATAAAAAATATACTTATCTTGTGTTTTGTATTTTTCCGTATATTCTTATCTTAAAAATTACGAGTAAATAATCCGACATTTCGATTATTACCGCAGTTGCAAAAAAAAATGAACAGGCAGAGAGAAAGCCATAAAGAATTTCTATACACCCTCGTGTTCACATCGATCGGTCGTTGTCCGTTATTTGCATTAAAAATGTAAGGCAAACGTTCATCAACGTATCCATTGACATCAACAAATTTCAATCTCATGTAGCTCAACATTATGATTCAGTACAATCGAAATGTGAACACTAGATCTATAATCATAAAGTAAAGACCGATTTTAAGTGAGTTCTCTTTTTGTTCGAAGAAGTTGGAAAATTCTACTTGAATTAATTACAAGGTATGTAATAAAATAATTTTATTAATAGTAAAATAAAATAATATATATATTTTATAATAAATTATATATAAATGACATAATAAAATTGTGATCAATACATATTCATTTTTTAATAATAAACCAATCATTATTTTGTCTTGCAACCAATTTGTGATTATGTAATTATATATAAATGTACACAATACATATTGTATATATATAAAATAAAAGAAACAAAACATAAAATAATTGTATTATAAGTTATACCTTTCCATTTATACTTATACTGTATATTAAATATACATATATATATATATATATATATATATATATATATAAAGTATATAAATATTTTACACATACGTGCAGTACAAACATGTACAGATTTTTCCAAGTTTAATTTTTAACCTTATAATTTAAATATAATTAAATAAAGTATTCTTGACTAAATGCTTTTATTTTGTTGTTATTAGCTTTGAAAAAGTACATCGATCAAATAGAACATAAACTTTACATTATTCATCACAAATTAATACTTTAATACTATATTCTCATCTACTCGTGTACTCTTATATATGTACATCTGATGTGAAACCCTATTGAGTCTCTGAATAGGAAAATTGCTAATCACATAACCCCAGTAAAAGTACTATATCCTTCTGCACGCGAAGATATAAGCGAAACATAAAGTATGTTTAGGCTTCAATACATAGCGTGTAACACCGACATATATGACGCCGAGGCTTTCATGATCTACAATATGATAAAAGCAATTATGGCCACCGTACGCGAATACTTGTGCCGTGATAAAGTGACTAGAGATCATCACTTGAACACGTCAAGACATCAATCAACATCAAATTCCATTCCACGAATATGTATCTACTTAACTACTTTTATTATTTCACTAAATCCTTACGTTAGTAAATTGCTTTAGCGAAAGATCAGCGACCTTTCCGATCGTGAGCGTCAAATACTTCTGTGATCTTATAATTATAAGGAGAATATCTCGATTCTGAATAGGATTCAATTTATACCAAAGCGCTTCATACGCCGCATCGCCAATCATTTTACTCTATAATAAGTTTTATTGTAAAATATATATATACCTAATATATACAATATATGTATATATATCATTATTATATACTGACTTTTGTACTGAGATATTCTCCAAGAAAGCAAACTATAAATGCCTCCATATTGACTAGAATGTAAAAGAACACGGATTTTACTAGCATAGGCGATCCACCCGGAACACCAATAGACTAAAAAATTTAAATATCATATTTTTTGAATACAAGTTATGTTATTTCATCTGTACTTACGATCACGATGACAAATCCTAGAGAACAGAGGACTAAAGTGATTGACACGAATTGTATCAGCGCTATGTTTGAGAAGAGAGTTTCAATATTTTTGGAGAAGGAAATAATTTTCTGATGCCGAATAATCAGTATTTTTGCAATACTATCGTTCATATATTGTTTGGTGTTCTTCCGTGTGATTTCACTCAGTTTCTGCCGCAATATATCAATTTGTCCACATGCATGAAGAACCTAAATGTTATAATCAAATTCAATTTAACATCAGGTATGTACAATAAAAGTATTTTTTGTTTTCGTATTCTTTTTTTTAAATATTGAATGAATTTAATATTAATTATTGTTATTAAGGAACTTTAAGTTTTCAAAAAACTAAATAATAAAATTTTAATATATCAATTTATAATTATTGCAACATAACTAATACGAATACGAAGCATATAACAGTTTAGCTTGGATCTTAGTTACTTATATATAATTTTGCGTGAATTTATATACTGATATATGTAGTCTTTCCAAACTGCGCGCTAAACAATTATCGTCTTGAAACACAACTCTAATAAACTATCGCAGTACTATCACGAATTAAATTGATTAACAATTTAATAATTAATTGATGCTCTTTATAATTATTGCGTTTTTTATTTTTTCTGCCTCTCTTATATCTATTACATATTTTTAATAACTTAGGAAATAGAGCAAAAATACTGCATTTAGTAACCATTTTATATAACTATTTACTTTTTAAACCAAATCATATTGTATTCTCTTCATTTAATTATATATTTTATTTATATAATATAATATATCTGTTTAATAACATACTTTTTGGATCATTTAAATCCTTGACATTATATTTCTTTATAATTTTAGAAAAATAATGAAAAAGTATTCAAACTTACCAATGTTAGCAGCAAACAATTTAGCACAGCCAACACACTGGCAGCGCTTACCTGATGAACGAACTGTATAATGAGAACGATAAAATATACTGATGTGGTTTCGATCTCGAAAGGTAACTCCATCTTGAGAATGAGCTCTCGAGAATCAGTTTGGTTGCTGCTTTTGTGCGTTAATAGAGTACCGATTGCATAGAGGAATACCGATGCTGCATGCGAACTTATTATCAAATTGGAAAACCACCGAGAGATGTAAGCCATTCTATTCATCGTGTATTCGTCAGAAATATCGCGCTTTTTCCAATCATCGACTATATGTGCTATGATATCGTCCAGCAGACTACAATATGTTATTTAAAAAAATATTGACTGACATGAGAACACAGTTATTTGTGAAATATTACTCCAGAAGTATATGAGTCAATGCAAAATTGCAAAACTTAAACAGATTAAAAATCAAACATTTTTTCTTTTTGCAATTAGCTTGAGATCTAAAATAGAAGATCTAACAATAAAATGTGCTTATTGTATGGCCGTATTTAATTTTATACTCAATCCACATCGTAATGGAGAACCTTACCGAACATGGAATATGATAAAAATTAGTTTGACAAACAGAAGACTATAAGTCAGAGTTGCGCTTATCACGTCCATGAGAAAGAAAATATTGCTCTCGGCGAAGTGCATGATCAAGTACCAATATTGAAAGATCTGAAATACTGCCATCGAAGATATGCAACAGACTCTGCGGAAAATTGCACATGATGTATCCGGCCATACACCGATCAAGCGAAGACCGAACTCCACGGAGTGACATATGGTATTTGCCGATTTTATTTCGTTATTCATTGATACTAAATAAATTCGTTTTACTGCAACGTGGTTTATCACTAACACAAAATTAAAATTTTCCTATTTCCTCTAACTACATTATAAGTAAGTACATCCAGAAAATATCAATTTGCTAACGTAACAGCATTTATAATTTGTCAGTAAAATACAGTTTTAAATTTTTCCACTAAAACTGCAATACTGACAAAACGTTCAACTTCAAAGAAGGGAAATTCTCAAGTACGATATAGTCAATAGCTCTAACTTGATTTTGTCTCTAGATATGATCACTCGAGAGAGGTTTTAGTAAAACTGTAAAAGTCTAACGCTAGAATGCTAGAATCTAATTGAGCATTCGTGTAGCCCCCACCTTGGTTGTAACCGACCAATGAAAGTTGTTCACATTTTATTTCTTTTTATTTCAGAAGTCACAAGAAAAAATTATAAGTCGATGTCTCAATAATTGCGGTGATTACAAAAAATTAAGGTAAAGACAGCTACTAAGTTTTCTATATACTCTTCTCTCAACCCTCTGTTGCCGTACGTTGTTTATATTAAAAATGTAAAGCAAATGTTCACCATCATGTATTGATACTAACAAAAAGAGACTCGAATCGCTATTCAGGAAAATTTAAATAATACTATAGAAATGATATATCCGATCAAGTAACATAAACGTATTGACTAAATTGAATTAAAACTAGTCAGCTATAAGAAACATTTCAAAGATTATAACTATATCAAAATAGCTTTATTACAATTCGGCAACTGAATATAATTCTGTCTTACCAATCTTTCATTAATATTTATTAATTATAAACAGAGATAGCGTGTGCATTCTGTTGCTCTTACAATGCTTGTAAGCATAATTTCTCCTATTAATATTAATATTTAATAAAGAGCAAGGATAAACTGATGCTTACAACATATGAGCATGAAAACGGAACGTATCCTTAAGTTATAGTTGAGCTTACTACATCTACAAATAGAAAAATATTATTGGTCCCCGAAGTGCATGATCAAATATTAAAAGCTTTGAAATATTGCCATCGAAAAATATACAATTCAATACATTAAACATATATTTGTATTGTACTGCGAAAAATTATAATTATAATGAATGATGAATAAACAGTAGAATCGTTCCCTTCGTTTATCGAACTGGTGATTACACTGCAGCACGTTTTCCTTAAAAATGCAGTGAGGTGAGGTACAGTAATACAACTTGCAAGAACTGCTCACTGCGAGGTCGAAACGTACTATGAAGAAAGCATAAATATCGGAGGGATTTGTTGTAGGGAGAAAATAAAGATGTACCTTCGTTGCGATTGAAAAACCAGTGAGAAGATTATATTTACCGTTGTAGCTGGTTCCGAGAAAGTACTGCAGGCTACAGCATATATGTAGCGCACAAGCTGGAGCACGTGACGAAAAAAAAAAAAAACAGCTCAACGAGTGATACCTTCTTGTGATGAAAGTTCATAATATTGTAACATTTTGTACAACAGCTTTTACATAACATCAACTCATCTTTAACCAGCAGCTCAAGATTCTTAAACAAATAAATTTATATTAATTTATACTAATATTGCAAATAAAAACGTACACGATATCGTAAAAATATGGTTAATATGTATATACTTAATTTTTGATCATAAAACATTATCTTATTATATAATTAATTTTATTTGAGAGAAAATTTAATGTGAAAATTTAATATGAAAAGAGAGAGAGAGAGAGAGAGAGAGAGAGAGAGAGAGAGAGAGAGAGAGAGAGAGATGAGTAAAAAGAGTAACAGCTTTTGTAATCTTTATACACTACATGTATACATACATTAATGTACTTTTGTACATATTTTATGATAATATACGGATATATTAAGCATGTAATTTTATATGTTTGAAATTAATTATGTATAGATAGAAAAAAAATTATTAAAGAAATAAGCATTTTTCTCAAACTTCATTTTAATTAGTATAAAACTTAATATAAAAATTTGATCTTAATTAATATGAAAAAACTTAATTTTATAATTAAATTAAATTTCTCTGTTTTTTTAAGAAATATTCTTTTTATTTTATCAGATCTGTGGCACAGTACATCGATCGACAGAATCAATGTTGTATTTATAGCTGTTTTCTTATACACTACATACAAATCAAGTACGATTATCACCAATCGATGCTTCAGTAAATAATGTTTTTGCTCCTCTATTCGCGTACACTTGATACGAAACCCCGTCGAGCCTCTGAATAGGAAAATGACCAATCATGTAAAAGTACTATAGCGATCTGCATGCGAAGATATAACCGATGTACAAAGTAGATATATTTAGACCTCAATACATTGCGTGCAACACCGACACGTATGACGCCGAAGCTTTCACGATCTACAACGTGATAGAATAGAAGCTATTATAGTTATCATACAGGAATGACACATTAGGACTCGACGATTAAAAAATGATTGTCAAGATATATTCGTGATAACATTTTGTGCATAAAGATGTATTTTTTTTATCGTTATTTCCATTAACTTTGCTAAATTCTTACGCTGGTAAATTGTCTCAAAGAAAGTTCCATAACTCTCCCAATCGTGAGCGTTAAGTGCTGTTGGGATCTTATGATCATAATGTGGATGTCTCGATTTTGACTAGGATTCAGTTCATACCAAAACGATTCGTACGCCGCGTCACCGACCATTTCGCTCTAAAATATATAATTGTATATTTTTGTCAAAGAGAATATCACATCAGATATTGTATATCAGATGTAATATATTTTGTACAGACTTTTGTACTCAGATGTTGTCCGACAAAGCAATACACAAATGCTTCTAAGCTCATAACAATGTAAAAGAACACGGATTTGACTAACATCATTGATCCGCCTGGGGCACCGATAGACTAAAATTTCACATATTACAATAATTTATATTTCAATGGAAATTATATTATTTTAGTGTACTTACGATTACGATGAGAAATCCTAAACAACAGATAACCAGAGTATTCGATACAAATTGTACCAGTGCAATATTGGAGTAGAGATCTTCGATATTTTTGGAGAAGGTGATAATTCGCTGATGTCGAACGATCAGCGCTTTTATGACGTTTTTGTTCACACCCTGCTCGATGTTCTTCTGCTCCACGTTCTTCCGCGTAATTTCACTCAGTTTCTGCCGCATTATATCAATCTGTCCACACACGTGAAGAACCTAAATAAATATCGCATATTTTTAGTTTAATATAACGTCTCAATTTGGATTCAACAAATGAGTACGAACAAATACGAAAGAACTTGTTTCAACAAGTGCGGACTAATAACGATTGTTATTTGCGTTCGTTTTCTTGGATTCAATTAAAATTAACATATAGAACGAAGATGAAAGAATGTACTTTTCGCACCTGCGTGTATAATTTTATTCCATAAACTATTATTTTTATATAATTATATTTGTTTTTATTATATATATATATAAATAAATGTTTAAACAATCTTCTGTCACGGAATTATATATTATAATTATTTTTAGTTCCAGGAATACAAGCAAATCACAAAACAAATGTTCTAACTTACCAATATTATTAGTAAGGAATTCACTACACCCACCATTCCAGCTGCAATCGTCTGGTGAATAAATTGAGTAACAAGGACAGCTACGTGTACTGATGTGCTCTCAATCTTAAAAGGTATCTCCATTTTGATGATGAGCTCTCGAGCATCGGTTTGATTTTCATTTTTGATCTTCATTATTGTCCCTACCGCGTAGAGGAATACTGATGTCACATGCGAGCAAATTATAATGTTGGAGACCCAACGAGATACGTAAGCTATTCTGGTCATTGTATACTCATCCGAAATATCGCAATTCTTCCAATCTTTGATCATGCATGTTATGATTTCGTTCAACAGACTATAACGAATAGTTTAAAGAAATATTGATTGATTGTGGCCAATATGATTGCAAAACAAAAAAGAAGTCTTTATTTTGTCGTTATGCCAATGTTACATAAACTAATAGTAAATTTATATATAAATAAAAAGTATCTTTTTTTATTCCGGTTTATAACTTGAAAACCAAAATAGAAGATACGAGAAGTGTTCGTGAATTGCATTTAATTCTGTGCTCGGTATATATCGCTTTGAAGAAACCTTACCGAGAATTGAATGCAAAAATAAGCATTTTGATAAGCAAAAGGGTATAAGCGAAAGTTACGCTTAGTGCATCCATAAGAATCATTAAATCCTCCTCTCCAAAATTCACGATCACGTGTTGATACTGAAAGGTTTGAAACACGATCATTGATGATATGCTGAGGACTTTAAGTAAAATTGCGCATGACGTGCTTGGCCATATCCCTATTATACGAAGACCATATTGCACAGACCAGCACACAATATTCGTTGAATCTATCTTGGTCTCCATTATGTTCAAAAACAGTTCTTCAAACGAATAAGTTAATAGTAAGTTATCACTAATTCTCGGTTTTCTTCTCTATATTATAGATAAAACTATATATAATGTAGAAAACATCGATTTAACAGCAGATTATATTTATCCCAAATAAAGATATCAGTACAATTCAAATATTTTGGAATACAAGAAAATTAAAAAGACGTTGAATTTCGGAGCGTCATGGATTGGAAGAAAAAATTTCCAACTTTAACATGATTCAAGTTCTAAGTCAATTTTTAGGTATGGGCGAGTGAGAAGTCTCGTTGAAACTGTAAAATTTTATGGATTTACAGCACTCGATTGATCCCACCTTGACCGTGTACACAAGACAGTAATTACTCATCGCTTATTTCATGTCATATTTTTTCTTTTATCTTAGAAGTCATAAATAAAAATTGTAGAATGACTTTTCTATAATTACAAAAAAAAAATGGGCAAGCGTAGTCACGAAAGCATCCAACCCTGGTATATGCATCACTCGTCCGTTATTTACATTAAAAATTCAAGGTAAATATACGTGCACTGAACACACGTGAGTAGCAAATGCGCGTGCGTAGAATACTTAAAACTTTTAAATACCAAGAAACAAAGAGCAGGAATTATGGAAGGTAAATTTATAAGGATGAATCAAAAGCGAGGGTAAAAGTTTGTAACAATAAGGAAAAGATATTGAGCTGAATTGTACAGAAACGTTTATCTGTAAAAAAAAAAACAACGCTATTATTGAATCGAATGAGATATATTGATGTATTTTTACATAAGGGCGTTCATGTTCGTGGAACGCTAATGAGTTACTAGAATTTGCGAGATATCACATTTTTCTTATAACACAATAGCTACATAAACATACAAAAGGTATTGGCTTTTCAACTATACATGACTCTCAAGACATAGCATGCAGCACGGATACATAAGACGCTGATGCCTTAATAATCTAGAAGAGAGAAGGTACAACTTGTCGTATTTTGCGTCGCAGGTAATAACATGCTGTATATTTTAACAATACAATCATTATAAAAAAATAAAACGTAAAAGACAAAGATATATATTACGTCTTTAATTGTATATATAAAAATATATTATCTTCTACTAATTTATAAATTAAATTCAAAATTGACAAAGTGCATTTCCTTTTAAAATACGTACAACCTATATCAGATATAAGAAAGCGTAATTTTGAAAGTACATCTTACTGTTGTGAAACGTTCTAGAGAAAGATCCATAAATTTTCCGATTGTAATAGTTAACTTTCTTTGTGATCTCAAAATCAGCAATAATAAAATACGACTCTGAGTGGGATTCAAGTTGTACCACTTAGTTTCGTACGCTGCATCGCCAATCATATTGCCCTACAATTGAGTGAGTGATTAAGTTTCAGAATTATAATAAGAAAATATGCCGCTTAAGTACGCCATTATTATTATTCTATAAATTACATCTTTAATATAAGTATAAATATATTTCTCGAAATGTATTTTTTTAATAATTTGATACCATTATTGAAATTTATTTAAAGAATCTGTATATAACAATAAAGTTATACGCAGAAAATTATGAAATTTGCAAGCACGACCAACAAAAAAAATAAATATATATAAAATTTAACATAATATTATTAGAAAAAGTATTATATATGAATGTATAAGATACATAAAATTTTTTCTTATAATAATTATACCAAGACTTTGTTACGCTATTTATTTATAATTATAAATAAATTTATAATTATAAATAGAGTAAGAATTTATGAAGATAATATACTTCATCATATAACTGCATCATTCTGACCTTGGCACTGAGATATTCTCCAGCATAACAAAATATGAATGCCTCCAAAGTGATGACAATGTAAAAAAAGAGAGATTTAATCAACATCGTCGACCCTTGCGTGTCGCTGATTGACTGTAACATAATCGGAAGTAATACCAAATACAAAACGCTCTGAATATAGAGAGCAAAATAAGAGTATTAAAACCCACATTTAAATACCATCTTTTATTTTGGATTTACTTTGAATACTTTTGTACGAGATATATTCCTTTTTATTACGTTTTATAGATGAGCAAAATTTAAAATAAAAATGTTTCGTGTAACAGCAATATTTTGATGTTACCGCGTATATACTAACTGCATGTATATTTGATTTCATAAAGCATCACTCACAGTCACAATTAGAAATCCGAGACAGCAGATGACCAAAGTGTTCCACAGGAATTGCATCAAAGCTATGTATGAGAAGAGAGTCTCGATGTCGGCTGAGAGCGCGATAATTCTTTGATGTCGACGTATTAGAGCTTTGATGGTCGAGGTTCGCAAGTCGAACGTATCGTCTGAAGAAATTTCTACCAACCCTTGGCATATTATATCGATTTGCCCACCTACGTGAAGAATCTAAAAATAACGGTCAACGCCCTGCAGTATATTCTCGATATTGTCACGATTCAGCATAGAAAATAGCTTGTGAATATAAAGATTTATCAACAAGGAAAGTAAAAAAGCAAATAAGCAAAATCTATTATATAATATAATAATAACGTTAGAATTAAAATCGTATATACTTAATAACTAAATAATTAATATAATATTTACTTAATATTATATTAATAATACAAAAATGTGCAATATAATATTAATTACAAATTAATTTTATTAAGGATACTTTATAATATAAGTATTTTAATAAAGAAAATTATATATCGTTGTGTAGGCGATATATATCATGTTTAATTTATTATAAAGAATAGAGAAAATTAATGGCAAAAATATGAAGACATTTTGAACTTCAAATTATCATTTATCGATCGAAATTACCAAAACGCTTTTCATTTCGTATAGATAAAATAAATACTCGTAAATATTTGTTATCTCAAACAATGCAGCGTGCGAGAGAGTCAATCGAAATTATTATAGTTTATTATTCTATACTAACAGTAAACTACTTATAATAATATATAAACTGTGCACCTCCATTACGTGATATAATTGTACATTTAGTATGATACGTATCAATTTAATTGTAAATGCTTTAGAGAGAGAGAGAAAGAGAGAGAGAGAGAGAGAGAGAGAGAGAGAGAGAGAGAGAATTAGAATTCTACTTGTTCTTTCTTTTTCTAAAGATAAAATAAAAAAATTTTTTTTACATCTCTTTTTCTAAAAAAGGATCAAAGCAATTCATAAAGCAACGTTAATTAAATGTTATTTTATTGCCAATGTGATTTGTACTAAATCACATTGGCAATAAAATCTAATCTAAAACTTAGACTCTTATAACTTATAAAGTCGTTTTTCAAATCGATCATCTTTGTCATTTCAGAGTATATATTCACTTACCAATGAAACAATTAAGGCATTAAACACACCAACTATCGTGGCTGCTGAAAGCTGGTGGAAAAACTGCGTGATCATTACGAGCTCGTACGCAGGGGAGGTATTGGACTCGAAAGGTAACTCCATCTTAAGAAACAATTCTCGCGCTGGCACCGCAAATTGCTCGTCGGATTCGTCAGTGTGAGCAACGAGTACGCCTGTGCCATAAAGAAATACTGACATCGAATAAAGACCAATGATCAAGTGGGAAGACCGATGCGACACATCGGTCGTCCTCGACATTGAGCAGATGGCCCACTCGGTCACGCACTCGCTCCGATCTTGGGACATCATCGTCAGGATGTCGTGGAATATCCTGTGAGAAACTTAGGGATTTGCTTTTTGAACTCGCTTATGATCATAAAAGAACGTAACAATCTTTCACCTTCTTCAAATAAAGCATGTACAACGATTAAATATTGTACACAACTGCGACAAATCTGATTTATTTGATTTTTGACAAATGACTGTATATATAACTAATTCTTCATTTCCTTTCATTTTTAAAAAATATTAAACTAATTTTGAATTCCATTCTCAAAATGCATGGAAAGATTGCGTTTGTTTCGCGACTTAGATAAGTAAAGCTCACCGTCGATTAATCCAAAATATTGTAAGTTTTAACAATAGGAGGCTATAAGACATCGTAGTACTAAGGCCATCCATCAGATGCGAGAGATCATCCGTGCGAACGTGTATAACAAAATATCGATACTGAAAGGTCTGTGCCATCGTAAGAGTGATCATCCAGAAGGCGCGACGGAGAACCGTACATGACGAGTTGGGCCAAACGCCGATCACGCGGAGACCGATCTCGATTGAACGACTGACAGTGCCATCAAGGATCTTCAAGGAATCAGTCTTTGAGTCCATTTTCGAAGCTCTGCCTTTGAATTTTCGACCGGGATCTTTACATTGATACCACGCGTGAAACTTCGCTATTTCATCAAAAACCCAACCGTGTATTTCGTGTAGCGATGTTAAACGCATGGATGAGTACGGGGGATGAACGCGGATGAACACGGAAGAATCGCTGCGCGCTACCAATCCCCCACCTTGATGTCGACATGAACCAATAGAAAGTACCGACAAGATATTCTCATCGCAACGCAAGAATTGCTAGGTAAGGTCGGCTGCAACAGTTAGGTAAGATAAGTGCGGGTATAGATAACGAGGGGGAAAAAAAATGAACAGGTGCAGCGAAGAGAAAATGCATTGTCTCTGAAATTACCTCGAACCTTAAAAATTCAGGAACTGTGTGCGATCGGGCGCGAGACTCTGGGGACATCGTGCAGGATAATGGTCGGTTAGATCAAGGTGCTTTAAATCGGTAAAATGTGAAGAACAACCGCGAACGGCATGGGGAAATTAAATTGTTACGTCCGGATTGGACGTCCATACCGAGGGGAAAAAATAATTTTCGCAGGGGGTATACCTACTGCTACTGTGCGCAGATAGTATACGACAGTGAGTGAACAACATGAGAGATATAAAATTGGAATCTTTGTATACAAATTCAAAATAAAAAAATTTAAATTATTTATGATATTTTTAATTGTAAGAAATATATAAATGTCTAATATTACTTAGCGAAGCTCGGACTCTCTCAATGCGAAGTAAGAATATGAATGATTTAAAATATAAAGAAAAAATAAATAATGTTAAAAATGCTTTTTATACAGTTTAAAAAAAAAAAAGGTCTCTGAGAAGAAATTATTACTAGTTCTCTATCAAAAAAATTAATTTTTATTTAATTTGTCTATTTTTATTAATTGGCTATATGATTCTTTATTTATTTATTTTTATATTTTTTATAAATTATATTTTCTCTTTTCTGTATATTTAACATACAAATTTCTCTTTAACTATTAGGGGATTGCATTAAAAGCTATTTTTTTTGTAGTTGAGCATTAATTTCAATAACAAAATGTATGAATACCTCAATCAAAGTATTTTCCCTCGAAAGCTATGACATTTTGTCACTTTTCTAGCAGAAGTTGAATTTCGCGACAAGAAAATGATCTGTCTCTTGAGTCAATCCATTCAACAACCCAATTTTCGAATTCGCTATAATTACAGTAGTGTGTATCTTTCAGAGCATGTTGCATCAATGGGAACAGATGATAATCGCTTGGTCCAGAGAATACGCTGAGTGCGAAAGAACCTCCCATTCGAGATCCATCAGGGTTTATTTCACGGCTATAGCAACATAGGGCCAATCGTCATCATGGATATGGTCAGGAGAAGAATCATCTTTCGACGATTTGATGCAATTGATGATCGTTTTTGCATTAAGTTATCATTCAAACGCTCCAATTGTTGTCGCTCGGCGATGATTGTTTCGTTCGGTTTCAATAGCTCATAATACACGATACCCTCCATATCCCATCAAATACAGAGCATTGCTTTGTGACCGTGAAATCACCAGTCTCTACATACTGTTTCCGATGGAGCAGATTCACCATAAGTTTCCGCAAGCAATTGATGAGTTTTAGCTGCACTTTTTTTCAAATCAAAATAGTGGAGAAGTACACATCATTGTTATGTGTTAATTGACTAAAAGTAAGTATATCTTCTACATGCGAAAATTAAGCGACGTACGAAGTACATTTAGTTCGTACAATGATTTTTTCTATCATGAGTGTCTAGTGCTGTTAGAATCTCATGATTATAATGTGGATGTCACGATTTTGACTCAAACTCAGTTTGTACTAAAGCGACTCATAAGCCACGTCACCAATCATTTCGCTCTAAAATATACAATTTATCTTACAATCATCAATTTGATCACAAAGAATATTATATAAGATATACAGTATATGAGAGAAAATATATTATATACGGACTTTCGTACTAAAAAGTTCTGCGACAAAACGCAGTCACGAAAATGTTTAATATACAATACCTTCATATATGCAGTCATTGTCTATTATTTGCATTAAAAATGCAAGACAAATGTACGTGCACTGAACATACGTGAAGACGTATGGAATATTTAATATTTTTAAATATGTCAAGAAGAAACAAAGAGCAAAGAAGAGCAATTATGGACGATAAATTCATAAGGATAAATTGAAAGCAAGATTAAAAGTTTGTGATGTTAAGGGAAGAATGTTGAAATGTGCATAAACACATTTATCTTTAAAAAGTACAATAACACTGTTATTGAATGAGATACATACATTGATATATTTTTACATGAAAGATATTGTCAGAAATGAAATGAAATCACTTTTATCGTATCTTAGACATGCAAGTTATGTATAAGTTATTTAATCTTTATCTACATAATTTTTAGTTATCTAAGCGCAATATTATATGAAAAGTTATTTGTGAGAAGAGAGTCTTAATATCGGCGGATATAGATAAATGAGAAAAAAAAGGCGAACAGGGGAAGCAGATATAGTCTCTGGGACGACTTCAAACCTTATAAATTCAGGAACCGTGTGCGAGCGGCACGGTGAGGAAAGTTAAATTGCTATGTTAGAATCGAATATACATATCGAGGGGAAAAAAAATAATTATTCGCAGCGATATACCTATTATTGTGAGAAAATAAGTACACGAAATGACCGTAAATGAACAACATGAAGAAAACAGAACGAAAGTCTTTGCATGTAAATGATGTTTCATCGAAATTTAAAATATACAAAATTTTCTGTAGCATATTAAATATAAATGTCTAAAACTACTTATATATATATAAAACTTAAATTCTCGTTGATACGAAGTAAGAATATAAATAATTTAAAATATAAAGAACAAATGAATAATCGAAAATGATTTTTTGCACATTTTTAGGAGTCGTATAAAAAACTCTGAAACATTTTATTACGATTATTTTATCCAAAAAATTTTAGTCAGTTATTTCTTGTTATTAGTTATTTGTATTATTTTTATTTATTTATTTCTATTATCTTTTTATAAATTATATTCTTTTTTCCGTATATTTAAAACAGATTTCGCTCCAACTATATGTAATGCTACACTTGCTACTGTCCAATACTCCGATAACCACGATGGATACTCTTGGCACAAGTAATTGTTATCCACTACAAACTTCGTTTAATACATCGCGTGCAACACTGACATATACGAAGCTGATGCTTTCATTACCTATCCGAAAAAAATAATAAATTTCATTTGCATAATAAACCACGTATTATTTTCTATCTTCTTTTAAGAAACATTGAATATTTTCGCATTTCATCTCGTTTATATATTTGCAATTTAAAATTCTCACACTCGTAAATCCTTCCAGAGAAAGATCCATAACATTTCCAGCGGTAATCGTCAATCTCTTCTGTGATCTTAATATCACAAATAACAAAATACGACACTCAGTAGGCGTCATGTTATACCATAGCGCCTCGTAGACTGCATCGCCAATCGATTTGCTCTAAAAAAAGAGGCACACGAATTTAAAGAAAAAGTCTCTCAATTTATCAGGGCACGTATTATAGAACTATTCGGAATGAATTCTGATCGGAGTTATTCCGTTTTCCCTAGAAAAAGCAATAGAAATTTAGGGACTAATTAAATAATTCCGATTGGAAAATGTATTCCGAATAATTCCATAACGTATCCTGAATTCGATATTTCCATTCTGATCCATATTTTTCGAACATTCAAGAAACACATATACGTAAATATATATTAAACTGATTAAGCTTGATAAATTGTTCTGCAGATGAGAGAAAAAGTTTGAAAATTGATTGCGCACGCGCGCGCCAGTGGTTCAAAGGAATAAAATATTACACATGTAGAATAAAATACTGTGCGAACCTTGGCGCTGAGGTATTCTCCCGCGAAACAAAAGATAAAAGCTTCCAATGTTACGGCAACGTAAAAAATAGCAGATTTCAAAATCACCACTGTGGCTCCGTCCTTAATAAGAGACTACAACAAGATTGTCGAAAGACATAATATTTAATAGATTTAATGTAAAATTACAAATTAATTATTTTATGCTATAACTATTTTATTAATTAACGATGCAACTTACGGCTATGATGGTAAAACCAATGCAACAGATGACCACGGTATTCGATAGGAACTGCATCAGCGCAATGTCGGAATAAAGTTCCTCGATATTGTCCGAAAGTGTTATTATCTTTTGGTGCCGGATAATCAGAAGCTTGACACTTGTGACGATTGAATCACGCTGCGAAATTTTGTCGCCGCAAATTGTCAGTAACTCCCGGCGAAGAATATCGATTTGTCCGCTCACGTGAAGCACCTAAACGTGATTACATATATTAATAAATTCTACAAAACACAAACTTTTCCGCGAATTATTGTGAATAAAAATTCCTTTTCAAAATATTTAAATTTTAAATGCAAAATTAGAAAAAAAAATCAATCTTAATTAGTTTTAATTAATGTTCGCAGAAGCACATGTTACAAGTAAAGAGAGAAAAAAAAGACATAGAAGAAATGAAGCTATAATAAATCTTAAAAATAAAGAAATAATTGTAATTATAAGAGAACAATCCTATCTTTGGTCAAAGTAAATCTTGGTAATGAATATTTCTATTAAAATTTTTTACAAATCAATATTTCAATTTTATACATTGCGCGTCGATTCGATTTGTCGGACTTGAAATGCAATTGTAAACTAAAATATTAATATTTCAAATTTGATTGTCAATTTCATAATGATGGTAATAATTAACCATTTTACAAATCTGCAAAAATTTATTTTCATTGGTTAATTTAATTTCTAATTGTAAATCTTAAAAAGTTACTCAGCACTCACATGATTTGGTTAAACTCACCAGCGTAATAATTAAGCAATTCATCATAGCAACTAAAGTGGCGATCGACACTACGTGAAGAATCTGACCGACCGCTAAAAGCTCGAAGAGGGGAGACACGTCAACTTTAAAGGGAAATCTCATCTTTACAGGCAATACTCTCGAACTAATGTTTAGATCCTCCTTAAAGTCAGTCGAGCGACGTAGAAGATTTGTCATGGAGTAGCAAATTGCGGCTGTAGCGTTAATACTGATTAACACATTCGAGCAGCGACGCGATAAATTGGCATTACTCGCCATAATGCACGATATTGATTTGTCATAAATATTGACGTTACTCCAATCTTCTTCCATCGCTAACATGATATCATAAAATATCCTGTAGAAAATTGCTTGCGTATTTTGTATCAAATTGTTATCCCTGTTGTTTACATCAAACAATCACTGTTCCTACCTGCGATTCGACCAAAGAGAGATCAGCTTTAGAAAACCAAGACTGTAAGCTAACGTAATGCTGAGTGCATCGACAAGGTTGGAGATATTATTGATGTCGAAATGATTGAAGATGTACGCGTACTGAAAGTATAGCGCGAACACCAAGCTCATCATGTACGCGAACCAAGTGATAGTTCCGTACGGCAAACCCGGCCAGATTCCGACAAAGCGGAGTCCGATCTCGACGGAAGTGCTGATGGAAGTTGCGCGCATTATCTCGCATAGGATTGGACCACGGCGATGTTTTCTCGTCAAAAGCAAAACGATTATCGTGCGAACATCGCTACTCGAATATTAAGCATTGAGTTTCAACGAGCTATAACTCCGCTTGCTATGCCAGGGAACAATGTGTTGCCCCTTTGTCGATCGTTATCAATCAATCGTAATTACGCGTACTCTTACCGTTCCTGATGCGATGGCAAAAAAGAACCGTACGTTACTTTTCACGATGATTACAGGTTATTACAAAGAAGAAAGAGCACAATTTGAAGCTACGTATTGAATGTTATAAGGAGGGGGACATAAGTTATTCATTTAACGAAAAAAATGAAAGATCCGTTGAGCGCATGTGAACAATGCCAGACGCGTTAAAAGACTTGAGAAGCACAAAGGCAAAGAAAAGGGAGTGCTGTTAAAAGGAGACTTGTGAAAAGTTCTAAGTCGAGACCATTGTTGTTTTATAAACAAAAATAGTATATGGAATTATCATATGATCATGTTCACATGCTGCTAAAAAAGATCGGAAGAGATTATCTACTACGCATATTAATAGTAGATATGAATGTCAACGTACGTAACATATCTACTTACAAAAGTTTGTTAATCTAAAAGAATCATATGTATAAATTAAAAATATTCGATATAAATGAAAGGGCAGATATCTTACTTTCTAATATACTGCAATGACATCGTTCTGCACGTTTATGGCTCATATAATTTTCTCTTCACTCTAACATAGTAACTAAACTAATTATCTATAAAAGAATAAGTTCTAATTATTATAAAAAATATAATATTATCAAAATTATTAAAAAATGATTTATTATACAAAAATAATATATTATAAAACTTTAAGATTTCTTTCATAGATAAATTTCTTTATGAAATACTTAAAAATGTTTCTCTCTTAAAGAACTCTTAAAGATATCTTAAAATTGTTTTATACATCCGCTCATTATATAACTAAGAAAATAAAGTTGCGTTTAATCTGCCCTATTTACACACGAGTTTAGTCAAAACTCACCGGACATCCTGTATATATATATTTTTTTTGTATATTATTTTTTAACTGTGTAATAATTAATTATATATATTTTAAGAAATAATTTTGCGCGCACGATTCTATGCGTTTTCTTATTAGTTTCATTAAATCGAGCAAATTTAACCATTAATATCCGTATACAAGTTCATAATTTCTCAATGCATTGCAGCGATAAGCAGAAGCTTTTATAATCTGTATACGGAGACACTTTTCATTGTAAGTATCATATCGGATGTGTGCATAGTTACGAAGACTGCTAAATCGTTTGCATTATAAATTGTTTGCATAGTCAGCTTTGATATTCACCCGAGGCGCGTTTAATATCCATGAGCAACATTTTGTATGTATGAGAATAGATCTTATGCCAGTGAATTTCCTCCAGAGGAAGATCCATCACTTTTCGTCAATCTCTTTTATTACCTCACAATCACAAACAGAAAGGTCAGACATTGACTGGGTGTTATTATATATTGTGCCAAACGGACTTGTATACAGCATCTGCAATCAGTTTAAACAATGTAAAAAACAACCAAATAAGTTCAACATACATAAATATCAAGCAAGGCTTCTTTTTCCAGATAAAATTGTATTTTATATAAATAAGCTTATATAGCAATTTGTAAAGTTAAAAAGCTTACAAAACTGCTTGCTAACGCAGCAGTTTATCTAGAAATAAGTTCGATAAAATATAGTTGAAATGTAATAAACCTTTGCGCCAATAAGGTACTTCCTAGTGAAAATTTAAAAAAAATGTAATTATTATGATGTAAAAAAAAACTTCAAAAGATTGTACTGGGTTATGATAAAGTTATATGTTAAAAATGTGTCTATGAGAATTAAAAAATCATTTATCTTAAAAATTCGCATAAAGACATTTTATCATAATAACTGACGTCATATAAAAAAAAATCGTTGAAAATTGTAATAAGCAACGTGGCACATACCCATAAATGTGAATCCCATTTTGACGAAAACATGTTTGTCGTATTTATTAAATATCTCGTAAAATTGTAATAACTTCCACGATACTTACTTTTCTAAATCGCCTGCCATCGATATGAGTAAACGATACGTGTTATGCGTAAAACTTGTACGACGATTGATCCATAGTACGACGCGTGATGACAATAAGAGAACCAACCGATCGCAGAGAGATCGGCGAAAGCTGGAACAGCTATCGATCAATCGTAATTATACATTTGATGACTCAAGCATTGATCGTTCAAACATTATAACTTCAGGGCAACAAACAATCAACAGGCTTCCCTCCGCTAGGGTAGCTAACAATTTCCTTTAAAAATGTAAGTCTTTCTTTTAGCATGTGCTCGTATACGTATATCTATAATAGTTGTATTATCTATAATATTATTGAACAGAAACGATTAAAACTGACAAAGAAACCTGAGGAAACTTTGAAGAAAAAATACAGATGTAAAGAAGGGAAAAATTATGTACAGACAAGAAATTAACAAATGCGCAGGATGCGATTTGAAATGTGGATTGGCTTTTTCCACACATAATAATGTTTTAATATTTTTGTTGTATAATGTAAAAGAAAATTGAAGTTCTTTCTAATTGTATTAAAATTAACTTCAATTGATATATCTTAACTCTTATATTAACTATTTAAAATAATATTTAAATAATAATTTTATATTAATAAATTTAGTAAATAAAATATAGTGTTTTAATAACAAAAAAAAAAATTTTGTAAAAGTAAGACCTTTATGAATTAATAGTACTATTTTTTTTTATCACTAATCCATTTTTGTATCTTTCAACTTTTAAAGGAATTTCTGATGAAAGTTAATAACGTGTTATTGCGTTTTTTCATTAAATTTGGGAAACGTGTAGCCAATACAGTACTGCGGATGACATATTGATGCTTAATATAGGATAGGAGCAAAAATATCAAATATAAAATATTAGTTTTGGTAGTAATCACGTATAAGTGCCAATCGGTATTACTGCACTTGTTCAATCATCTTCTATTGTCGTTAGAATTTTGTAAAATTCGCTCCTATTTATAACTTAAAATGGCCAAATATTACAATTATAAACTTCAGCCATACCTAGAATATTTATTGCTGACTTACTGTTAAAAATAGTATGGTTCATTTTGAGAGATGAAAACATAGCATTATCTTTCAGCAACTTGCAACTTATTGTTAAAAGATGTGCGTGAATAGAAGGGTAATTTAAAATTACGTTAATAACACATGAAAACACAAAGATCGGTATCGCGCATTTATATGAGTTAATTCGCTAAAATTACCTCCAGATCCTTAAATGATATACTGTAATCTATATCATCGCCAGAGTGCTAATCAATTAATCCCAAGTACGTGCTGAATAGTCTAACAGTAATTTGAAATAGCTTATTAACTGGGTGTTCTATAATTTTACCAAAATAATATTATCTTACTATAAATTACAATAGGAGCTGAGAAACTTAAATCAACGAAACGTATTATGAAAATGCCATTATAATATTATTCATGCAACCAAATATACCAAATTATTCAACGAGACTTCAACAAATTTTATGTGAACTACGTATAAAAATAGAACTAAGTATTCAACAAATAAAGACAAAATAAAGAAAGAAATTATTGCATCTATATTGGCATTATTTTAGACAGCGTATCTGCAATCACAAACATCACTTCAAAATATTATAACAACTACTTTATTAACAATTTAACAATTAATTCCTTTAAATAATTTATGTTTTCTAAATCATCTCATTACACTAATTTAAATATGATTTTAACAAATCATTGCATTGGTGTCAATACATCGCATACAAGACAGATACATATGATGCCGATGCTTTCATAATCTAAACAAATAAAAGTATAAAATACTTAAAATTGTAATTTATACATATATATACATATATAAAGGATACGTATCATAACAAACGCTAACATCAATTGTAAGAGCAAAATAAAATCTTTATTTAAAAATTATTTATCAAAAAAGTTACGAAAGATTACAGTTGTTAAAGCTTCAAATGACATATCCATCATTTTTCCTGCAGTGATCGACAGTCGCCTTTGGGATTTCATTATCATAAATGATATAATTTTACTCTGATGTGGCGGCATATCATACCACAACGATTCATATGCTGCATCAGCGATTGATTTACTCTAAAAATAACGTAAATTATGTCAAAAAGAGCAGGATAGTATTTTTTTCTCTTGATCCAAAAAGTTCTTTTATCTAAAAAAAAAAAAAGCTTTTTTCTAGTCTACTATATTCTAGTTCTGACATTTGTAAAAAGAATTGTAATAAAGGGATACATTATTTATATAAAATAAAATTAGTGTGCATTTTTAAAATCTTTAATATAGTAACTCTTTTCACAATATTGTATTTACTGACCTTAAGACTAAGATATTCTCCGGCAAAGCAAACAATAAACGTTTCTATCATTACGGCAATGTAAGCCAAAGTAGCTTTCACAAACACGAAGACATCGATTTCATTATGAACCGACTATTTTAATGTACAATAAAAGAGAATATATAACTATCGAAAGAGAATATAAAATATCGATATCATAACATATTTATTATAATACTCACAATTATAATAACGAATCCTAAACAACAAATGACTAAAGTTTTGCAAACAACTTGCATCAATGCAATGAAGGAAAAAAGTTTCTCAATGTTCGCGGAAAATGCGTCGACTTTGTTATGCCTTTTGATCAACATTTTTAATATAAATGCGGAAGATTGATAGGGAAAGGCGTTTTCGGAAATATTTCTGAACTCTTGACATATTATATCAATTTGCCCGCTTACGTGAAGCACCTAAAATGTACTTAAATTGCTGCAAAGTTTCAAATAATATTTGTAAAAAATACTTTTAATAGCAAAACACACATTCAGTATAAATTTTCAACGTTTATTGTTATGTGACATATTTATTAAAGTACATTTTTTCCAAATGTCATATTTATCTTTATGTTTCTAAAGGAAATATATAATAATGCTGCAATATTGTATGTAAAAATAATGTCGCATATAATATAATATAAATCAAGTAATATTTTCAAGAAAAAAATATTACTTCTTTGGATTTAAAGCGTCAAAAATCTTTTTATCAGTTTTGAAAAAATAGAAAAAGATGAATTTAGGATACTAAACTTACCAAAGTAAAAATTAATCCGTTTAAAACAGCAACTACAAACGAAACTATTATTACGTGTAAAAATAGAATCGCGACCAATAGCTCAAAAATCGGTGACTGCTCAGTTTCAAAGGGAAGAAGCACCTTAATAGGAAGCTGCCGCAAGGTATCATTGTAATCATTGGTTGAATATACAAAACGAATTGCATAATCACCCAAAACGTACAATACTGCAGCTACACCGTTAAAACTCAACATAGCATTAGAATAAAAATGAGATACACTCGCTTTAATTGTCATCATATTCAAATGCTCATCGATGTTGATGCACTCATGCCAGTCATTATCCATAACAGCTAAGATTTTATGAAAAACTCTGTAATATATTATTAATTTGTCAAATAGTGAATAGAATATTCTATTCATGCCAAACCAATACACTAATAATTTAATATTACAAAACTAAAAAGTCTCATAGTCTTTCGCGATCTATAATATCGGCGATATAAAATTTAATTTTACATAATATAAAATTTAATTTTACATACGCGACGCGTTGTCTTACCGACGATGTATCCATAGGCTGGCCAATTTGACAAACGTCAAACTGTAATCTAAAGCTAAAGACAAGCCATCGATAATATTCGAGAGCTCACTGATACTGAAGTGCTCAAGTATGTATAGATATTGAAAATACTGTATAATCAATATACTTGACATAAAAATCAGCCAATGAAAGATGGAATAGGACACCTCCGGCCATACACCAAGCAACCGAAGGCCGAATTTCAGCGCCGGACTAACGGTACTCTTGGCTACCATTCGTTGAAAATTTAGAAAACGCGAGGATGAAGATTAGGACATTTGTCCGCTGCGATTGTAAAAGAGAACTGACAGGACAATAACAATTTTTCCAAGAGCATCCCCACGCGCATACAGTATATCCCCCACTCATGTTAATGCGGACCAATCATCAATTGCAGTTATACATCTGTATAACAACAGTTTGAGGAAGAACAATTCGTAGTATTAGTTATAGTATTCATAGTATTACCTTGTATGAGAGAGAGATCATTCTATAATATATTCCTTGTACAATTTAATAATGTATCTTGACCGTGAAGTAACAAAAAATCGTGCATTGAACCATTTCTTCCCATATAATGCGATATTGTGGACAATAAAACATATGTGCACCATTTTCTAGATGTCGTAATGACAGTTTAAAAGTTCATAATTACGGCTTATCCTCGATGACGGAAATGAATTGTATTAGTGCATCGATCGTTTTTACGAAGACAAGAAAAAAAACATCTTATATCCCTCTGATGTATTAAATTCTTCCAATATAATGACAAATAATTTCCTCTAATAAAGTAAATATTGAATTTTCTCAGAACACACGTGCAAATGAAACTTAAAGAACTGAAATAAACTGAAAGTCTTATAGAAGTTTGGTTACACAAATACAAATAAATATGCCAACATATACTGCACCTGTTTAGATCTATTGTAAAATAACGTCTTGGTAATTATTACGTTCTCTGTAAAGTTACATTGCTCTTTTTCTTTATTTTTCTTTCTCTTCTTTCTAAGAAAATATTTTAAAATATAAATGAAAGAAAAGAAGTTTGTGAAATTTAAATTCATATTAACATTTTATACTAACAATACTAAGTAACACTAGAATTTCAAGAAATTACTGTTTATTAATATCAATACCACGCGTGTGTAAACAGGTACGTATATATAATGCTGATAGTTTTAAGATTTAAAAGAAATGTTCAAAATTATTTCACACATTTCTATTTTTTGTGACAGTCAAAAAGTTTATTTAAATTTATTTAAAGCAAGAAAGTTATTCCGAAAGCTTACATTCATGAAAGTTTCCACAGATAAATTTGTAATTTTCCCGTAATCATTAGTCGTTTTTGAGATTTCATAATTATAATCATTACAATATTCTTCTGATTTGACAATAAATCATACCACCGTGATATGTTGCATCGGCGATTAATTTTCTCTGAAAATAATACAAAAGACAATACATAAAGACAACATGAAGAAAAATAATGAATAACATTTTTAATAGTTTTTTCTTATTGAATCAAATATTGTATAAAAGTCTTTGTGTAAATTGTTAAAGTTTACTTAATTTTCGTACTATTATAAGTTTATAAGTAACAAAAGAGAGAGAGTTAAAAAAGTATAAAATATAAGAGAGTTAAGCTAAACATTTTTTTCTCAAATCAATAATTTAATGTGATGCTCGCCTGTATTATCGATAAAACTAGCATCTTTGACGTTTTCGTTCTTGTCTAATTTCTTCATAATAGTTTCGTAGAATAAAAATTTCTTTTCCACGATTTAAATATTCATGCTAATGTATCTGCCCTTGGTCTGTATTATGTCCAAAACTGGAAAAAATATGAAATTATATATATACAGATTTCTTTATCCATTTCTATCTTTAGCGTTGGTCGTTATACTGAAATTAAATGGATAAATAAATCTGTAATTTTATATTTTTTCCAGCTTTGAACACAATATATAGACCAGGAATAGATATATTAGCATGAATATTTAAATCGTGGAAAAGAAATTAGACAGGAACAAAAACGTCAAGAACGCTAGTTTTATCGATAATACAGGCGGCTCCAGCATTACCTTAATATCTAAACACAATAAACTATAATAAATATTTCGTGGTTTTATTAACAAAAAAATAAGTCATCCACATTGTCAGTGTTATAAGTGAAAATTTAAATAATATACTGATCATGTGTAACAGATACGGACGCATTTTTGATTGTTAGTTAAAAAATAAAAGAATTATAAAGCAATGATTTTTATAATTCCGAAAAATTATAATTTTTATTATTCTTTTTGGAACCGTTAAATGGCAAAATATTTTTCTTGGGTACTGATAATATAAATTAAATAGTAACATTTTTTACTTATTGACTTACATTAATTTTATTACTATTTCAACAAATATCTATCGTAATTTTGTCTGAGTCAGTAAAAAGCATTCAGAATAGATATATATGATACTGACGCTTTAATAACCTAAAAAGCACACAAATAAAGAGATTATATATTTATTGTAATAAGGCTCAACGAATTTAAAACTAATATGAGAATAGGGCTACGAGCCTGAGATTTATTAAAATTTATTATATTAGAATTAATAGAATTAAAGATTTTAATAAATCTCAGGCTCGTAGCCCTATTCTCATATTAGTTTTAAAGAGATTATGTTTTATATTAAAAGAGTGACCCCAAAATTTACCCGTTTTTGTGCCCTCGATTTTGACTAAGCTCTGTGTCTAATGGTACCTTATAATATAATGACAATGAGACATTAATCACAGAGAAGTCACAAGTTGATATGTTTTTAGATCTAAGAGGGGGAGTGAATTCAAAGTCGGTTTATCATTACAGATCTGCGAAATCCGGTATTTTAAGAAGCTTAATCCAGCCAATGAAGACAAGATCGCGATCGATCCAGCCGATGAAGGCAAGACCATTGGCAGTTTTTCTAATTCGAAGGCAGTTCTTCCGAATCTGGCCGAGCAGTATTTCAACGGCCGAAGCAAACGCTCATTTGCACTTCTGCAGTCTTACTTAAATGATGCTTTGAATGTAAAAAATTTTCGCATAGATGTAATATACGTAATAACACGTGACACCCACTCAGCTATGATAGCAATTATCACCTTAAACTAAAACTTCTTTGTAATTAATATCTCATTGTATACGGTCTCATTTGGCAGTTCAGTATAAAAATTGAAGGCCCAAAAACGGACGAAAAAAACCATCTTTTTGAGATTACGCTTTAAATTGCTTCTAATCAATCTGCTATTTATGTTGTTATAAACAAATAAATTTTGATCTATAAATTATATTTAATGTAATGTGTATAAAAATGTAAATAGATGAATGATTATGAGCAAATTAAAACAACTTCTTAAAAATTAAATGTCAAAAAATTAAAAAAAATTACATTCGAAAAAGTTTCGAACGACATATCCATCATCTTCCCTGCCGTTATGGCTAATTGCTTCTGAGATCTCATTATTATTAGTATTAACATTTTACTCTGATGTGACGGTATATCATACCACGGCGATTCGTATGCTGCTCTGACAATTAATTTACCCTAAAAGCAAAAATATAATAGATAAAAGCAATGATTTCTTGCATGCTATATATGTATATTTATCCTATTTATATGAGAAATTATGTTTTTCTTCAAGTACAGATATCAGAAATCCTATGGAGATTAAAAGATAAAGAAGAAAAGTAACAGAAATATAATATAATATATAGAGAGAAAGAGTGTAGTAAAAAGAAAGCATAAAACAAAAACATTTTTTATTGAAAACATACATTCTCATTTCTTAGACAAGGTATGTTTTAAATAATATTTATGCACTATAATATATTAAAATATTTTTGCAAAAATTTCTATATAATTTATCAATTCTCATGGAACAATAACTATTTAAAGTTAAAAGATTTCATATCTGACCTACAACTTCCTGAATACTTACATAAATATTATACTTAGCATATAGCATACACAACAATATTGCACATAGAGTATTGCATACGTACACAACAATATTGCACAAAACACTTTGCATACACGACAGTATTGTACACAGAGTTCTCTATACACAGTTCATTACACTCACGACAATATTGAACACAGCGTATAACATATTTTATACACAATACGTTGTATAAAGGATAATAAGGAATTATTCAGATATACGATGAATGCTAAAGCCACGTTATTTAAAAAATCGAATTGCACAAGCGCAATTTGACTTTTGACTAAATAACGTGACTTTGCTGTGTGTGTCAATGTGCTGTGTGCAATAATGCCGTATATGCAATATGATGTGTGCAATATTGCCGAATACGTTGTGTGCAAACGAAGCTGTAAGCAATCAAAGTCATTCTAATATTATAAATACGTACTTTGTAATTAAGATGTTCTCCAGCAAAGCAAATAATGAAAATCTCACCCAATGAGTCAAGAAAACCAAGAACTATTTTTATTATCAAGAAAATATCCATTTTGTCGTGAATAGTCTAATTTGATAAACAATAAAATAGAAAAGAATAATATATATATGTAATTCTTTTTTATATAGAAAATATCAATTAATGTACTTTTATTGCAGAACTTACAATTATGATAAAAAAACCTAGACAGCAAAAAAGTATCGTCGTCCAAACAACTTCTACCAATTCAATAAAGGAGACAAGTTTTTCAAGGTTTTTAGAAAATAAAACAATTTTATTATGTCTATCGATCAACATTTTAAATAAAGATACGGTAGATGCATGAAAAGAAGTACTTTCTATAGAAATATTTTTAAATTCATGACACATTATATCAATTTGTCCACTAACGTGTAGTACCTAAAATGTACTTAAAGTTGTACAAAAATCGTAATTATAGCATATAAAAAAGATTTTCACACTACAGTTAACATGTTTCAAATACAAAAAATATTTTTACATAATACATGTATTTATAAACTCAAAGAAATTCTTCTTGCAAAATTATATGTAAAATTTTTTGAATATTAGAATTAACAATATTTATTATTTACGAAGAAAAGTGATGATCTGTAAATGTATCAGTTAGTTCTCTCTAAAAGTAAAGTAATGCAATACATTATTGTCTAAAAAGATATTAATATCTGATTACAGCAATTACAAGTTTAACACTATAAATTAAAGTTGTCCAAATTATTAAACGCTTAATATTTAACATTTTTATCATTTTGATCTATAATTGAATTATAACCATAAATAGTTTATTAAGGTTCGGTTGCACCAACATTACTTGATTTTAAACGAGATTTAAAACTCTATATCAATCTCGTATTAAAGAAGAGATATAGAAACAGAGACAGTTTAAGTCTCGCTTAAAATAAAAATTACGTTGGTGCAATCGGGCCTAACTGATTTAATTATATTTAAATCTAAATCTTATATCTGATTTAATTATCTTGTATAACAAACTTTTACAAACTTTGACGTAAAATATTGTTACGATAAATAAGTTTCAATTCTGCATTATAAATTCCTCTATTACATAAAAACAAATAAATCACAGAAAAATATTTATATATAAGAATGTTTTACCAAAGTGAAGATTAACCCATTTAGAATAGCTTGTGTGCCTATAAGTATCAACGTGTATAAAAATATTGTCACTGCAAGAATCTCAAACAGTGGCGATTGTTGAATTTCAAAGGGAAGTTGTATCTTTATAGGAAGCTCCCGCAAAGTGTCATTTTGCAAAGTGTCATCATCAGTCAAAAACACGAAACCAATTACGTAATCTCCTAAGAAATAAAGTACCGTACAAACCATATTAGCACACAATATACCATTGCAAATAAAATGTGCTACATTGGCTTTAATTGTCATCATATACAAATGTTCATCTATATTGCACTGGCGCCAATCATTATCCATAGCAATTAACATTTGACGAAAAATTCTGAAAAACGTTATTTTAATCTATTATAATATTTCAAATGCAAAAATTACATTTTTTCCAAAAGCCATCAACGTTGTGTTTAATTCTCAAGCTAAAGTTTGGGTGATGACATTAATAAATCACTTTTGCTTATGATAAATCAAGTCAACAGTGTTATAAAATTGAAAAAAAAATTGTTTTTCGAAAACGGAATTAAGTAAAGCTGAACAAAGTTGAATTATATAGTATAGAATATCTTACTGACGGCGTATCCACAGTCCAATCAATTTAAATAACGTCAAATTGTATAATATAGTTATAGTCAAACTGTCAATGAGATTCGAAATTTCGCTGATACTCAGATGTTCAAAAATGTACAAATACTGAAAATATTGTATGACCACTGTGCACAATATAATACTAAAAAAGTGAACAGTAGAATGCAAATCACTCGGCCAAATGCCGAGTAATTGGAAATAAATTTTCAGCACTGGGCTGCAAGTACTTCTTATTATCATTTGCCAATGATTTCTAAAACTTAAGAAAGTAACGATCTGCGTTTGCACATTTGTTCGATTCTCGAGATAAGGAGTAATTGAGACAGTATATCCTCTGTTTCGTCAAGTATATTCCACTCGGTGCATTCCCACTCGCATAAATATGAATTATGTAGCATAAGAAGATATAGCAAAGGAAGATATTACTAATTTTTTTATAAACGTGTTGTAATTTTCTGTAGAAATCTAACAACGCAGTAATAAATTACTCGGATAAGTAAAAGAGACATCTGTATCAAATTATTGATGAACGATCCGATGCGTAATATAGTCGGTCCGTCCCTTTTCTTCCAAACTTTTTATAACGTAAGAAAGTAAGGATCAGCGTTTGCACATTTATTTGATCCTCTAGGTAAGAAGTAAATGAGACAGTATATCGTCTATTTCTCCAAGTATTATACATATATTCCCATTCGGTGCATTCTCACTCGCATAAATATATGGATCAAACATTATGTATTGTGTAGCATCATAATAAATGAGGATATAGCTAATTTTTTTATAAACGTATTGTAATCTTCTATTGAAATATAATAACGTAGTAAATGACTAGGAAAACTAAGAAAAACATATGTCGAACAATTGATGTACGATTCGATGTGTAATATAGACAGTTCCCTTTCCTTGCGAACTTATATCTGGGCAATAAATTTCTAGAAATAAGAGACAAACGTCCGCTGCATTCTGTACATTGTAAAAAACGATAATCGCACAGCAGGCCAACAATAATTGTGTATTAAATATTCTAAGCGAACGTAACTGAATAACATTCATGTAATTCTACTTTTGATGGTCTTCGAAGAAATAATATAAGAGCAAAATAACAGAACATCATTAAAATGATAAGTAATATGCCTTAATGCTTCTAGGAATTATTCTTATGGAAAGTATCCCGAATTAAAAAATTGTTTAATAGAAAATATTAGAAATATTTGAAATAGCTTGAAAAAAAAGTATACTCACAACGTCATATGATCGTACATAGAAGAAATACTAATTGTCTAAAAAAGCATAAACATCAAAAACATCCGACTATAAAAAATCTTTTTAAGTTTAAATGTATATAAGGTAATATGATAATAACAATATACGTAAAATTATTTATTTCTACATATGTGTGTGTGTGTGTGTGTGTGTGCGCGCGCGCGCGTGCGTATAACAAAATTGCAAAAATTATTTGATACAAATTATTTATTTTATGAATAACTTATTATAGTGAAAAGTGTTTTAAAATCTTACACATTTACACATTGTTACTTTTTTTAAAATGATTATTTCTAAACTGTTACAATGACTAGTCCCAGTTTCTCGTGTAATGAAACAAATCACAATTTGTGTATAACTAAATTGTTTCAAAGTAATTTTAAAAATCAAATTTTTTTATTTGAATACTGACGTCACAAGCCATTACACAACCTGTTTAAATAACAATAATAATAATAATAATAATAACATTAATAAGATGAGCCTTACTATATAGTATATACCAGTGGTCGGCACTAGATGCACATTTCGTCCGACGCGATCGATGAAACTCGAACAGCAGTGCAGTGAAGGTTCACAGGAATTGGCCCGAAATGTGCATCGAGTGCCGAACACTGGTATGTACATATTATAAGCGATTTTTGGCGATAGTGTGATATATGATCAAGGTCGTTATTGGTAGAGATGGAACTTTTTGTGAATAACCACAATTATTAGCTGAAACGTACTGGTTCTTTTTCAGACATGCAATACCGTTTAAATTTACTAAGAAGGGAATAAGTGGAAATAATAAAATATTTGTTTGTTTTAATAAGTGAAATGTATTGTGGCGACCCGCCACCAGAGGTCATTTTACACATGACAATGTTACGTACAGCTCATTGCACACACAACAATGTAACACACTGCGCATTGCGTACATGATACGTTTGTAGACAACACATTATATACAGGATAATAAGGAGTTATCCAAATATATGGTGAATGATAAAGCCACGTCATTTAAAAAATCTAATTGCACACGCTCAATTTGATTTTTGACCAAATAACGTGACTTTGCTGTGTGCAATATCATTGTGTATGAAATGTGCTGTGCAATATCGCCGTGTGTAAGATACCATGTCTGTAAATAAAGCTGTAAGCAATCGAAGCTTTCCCAATATTATAAATACTTACTTTGAAATTAAGATGTTCTCCAGCAAAGCAAATAATGAAAATCTCACTCAATGAGACAAGAAAACCAAGAACTGTTTTTGTTAACAAGAAAATATCCATTTTGTCGTGAATAGTCTAATTTGATAAACAATAAAATAGAAAAGAATAATATATATATGTAATTCTTTTTTATATAGAAAATATCAATTAATGTACTTTTATTGCAGAACTTACAATTATGATAAAGAAACCTAGACAGCAAAAAAGTATCGTCGTCCAAACAACTTCTACCAATTCAATAAAGGAGACAAGTTTTTCAAGGTTTTTAGAAAATAAAACAATTTTATTATGTCTATCGATCAACATTTTAAATAAAGATACGGTAGATTCATGAAAAGAAGTACTTTCTATAGAAATATTTTTAAATTCATGACACATTATATCAATTTGTCCACTAACGTGTAGTACCTAAAATGTACTTAAAGTTGTACAAAAATCGTAATTATAGCATATAAAAAAGATTTTCACACTACAGTTAACATGTTTCAAATACAAAAAATATTTTTACATAATACATGTATTTATAAACTCAAAGAAATTCTTCTTGCAAAATTATATGTAGAATTTTTTGAACATTAGAATTAACAATATTTATTATTTACGAAGAAAAGTGATGATCTGTAAATGTATCAGTTAGTTCTCTCTAAAAGTGAAGTAATGCAATATATTATTGTCCAAAAAGATATTAATATCTGATTACAGCAATTACAAGTTTAACACTATAAATTAGAGTTGTCCAAATTATTAAACGCTTAATATTTAAAATTTTTATCATTTTGATCTATAATTGAATTATAACTATAAATTAGTTTATTAAGGTACGGTTGCAACAACATTACTTGATTTTAAGCGAGATTTAAAACTCTATCAATCTCATATTAAAGAAAAGAGATAGAAATAGAGACAATTTAAGTCTCGCTTAAAATCAAAATTACGTTGGTGCAATCGGGCTTAACTAATTTAATTATATTTAAATACTAAATAAAATTTTTAAATCAAAAATAGAACTCTCGAGAATGTCAATAACAATAAATAAACAGGCTAATGAGAGTCAAAAACTGCGGTTGTTCGTGCGAATTAAAATTATTTATTAAAATATACTTATAAAAATAAATCAGACGTTTCGGCTTCTATTTGAGCCATCTTCAATGATCCGAACAATATCCATTCAAATTTAAAATAGCATGGTCATCAATTGGCTGCACAGGTGTGGTAACACATCATCTCCATTAGAATAAGACAAAAAATTTGAACGTTCTTTGGCAAATAATGGAAAACTATTAAATAAAAATTGTCAATAAACAAATAATCAGTGAAGAAACTAAAAAGATCAATGAGAAACTCACCAATGCAGCAAATTAACATCAAAAGAATTACAAAGTATACGTGTGAAATAAAAATGATACACAGTCAACGGACAATAGTCAAATGAGATAAAAACAAAGTGTGGGAAAGACAAGAATATAATGAGACTGCGCAGAACGGTAAAAACAGATACCACCAATAACTAAGCACTATTACATTGACACATAAGAAATCATATTAAATACATCATTTTAACGAG